TCTCCTCTGATTTACAGAAGTAACTCTTCTCAAAATGGATCAAATCACACTCAGTTTTGGTCCTTTGGGTTCCTGTTTCCAACCTTGAGCTTCTATGCTAGCAAAAAATACTGTCTTGCGTTAGCATGAACAGCATTTGGTTCTTAACACTGGTTTAGTATTCATTTCTCTAAATAGGGAGTGCAATTACCGTATGGCTAAATAACTGTTTCCAACTGTCTTTTTTTCCATTAAACAAATGGGAGGCTTTACCTCTTGGTCTTCCCACAAGATTAATGCACTTTCTCTACAGGAACTGTCTTAAGACGATGCAGGAGCCTGAATGCTTGCAGACAGCAAGCTTAATTGTCACAGAATCTTATTTAGCCAATGACGATTTTCATTAAAAGGTGATCTCTGTTAATAACATAGACTAATAACTTCTCTAAATGAAAAAAACACCTTTCTTTCCCTCCTGCAGGCAGGGATAATGAACTCTTAAATCAGTGCTCTTTCTGAGGAAGCTTTTTATTTTGTTGCAGAGGTTGGCTTCAGATCTGACTGATGCCAGAGGTTCCTGATGCCTGTTCTCACATTCCATGGGGGATGTAACTGTGAAAAGTCGTGGTGTTTTGGAGAGCAGTTTGGCTGCTGGATGCTACTGGGAATTTGCAAAGGACTTCCCCACTGGCTGCATACCACACAGGACAGGGTTGGAGGAGCATTTCAGAAAGGCAGCAAGTCAGCCTTCACTGGCTTGGGCAACAGATTGTAGAATCATAGAATCATTAAGTTGGAAAAGACCACTGAGATCACCAAGTCCAACCCCAGCCCACCCCCACCATGCCCACAACCACATCCCTCAGTGCTGCATCTCCATGGCTCTTGATCACCTCCAGGGATGGTGATCCACCACTCCCTGTGCAGCCTGTGCCACTCCATCGTCACTCTTTGTGAGAAGAAATTGTTCCTGATATCCATCCTGAACCTCCCCTGGCATTTCAGAAAGCCATTACATCTTGTCCTATGATGGATCAAACTGCTTTGGAAGATCAGGAATTCCTCTTACAGGAAAACTGTGAATTTTCTATGAGTTAGGATTGATTTAATTAATTTTGTAGTTGAGCCTTGCAAATCAGCCATCTGGCTGCTGGATGATCAATGGTCTAATAAGTATCTTGGTCAGAGGAGAGACTCGTAAGGCAGAAGGTATGAGTGGGAAAGTAAGCTCAAACTTCTATGAGACCTAAGAGAATCCTCAGCAGGGGCAGCCATGGGAAATGGGGAAATCAAGTTCTTGTCTTTTCTATTAATCAACTCTTCTTCGTCAGTGTTTGTGATGTACGCTCCTACTCTGAAACACTTGCTGCAGGGAAGAAGAGCTCATGGCTGGATGTGTATAGAGAAGAACAAGGAACACTTCTCTCCCTGCTGGTGGTGTGGTGCTGAAATAGCAAAAAATGTTTTCGAAGAATTTATAGCAGCTTTTTTGTACTGCCACAAATTCCCATGGGATAACTGTGCAGAAAGCATTGCATGCTCAGTGTTATTGAGAGTTTAATGTACTTGGTGAGCTTTTCTGAAAGATCTGGAGCTGGCAATAACACTGCTGCTTGAAAATCACTAATTACAGAATATTTTCTTCAGAGAAATTTGGGCCTGCTGTGTGTGAGAGGAAAAGCTTGAAAAATATACTTCTGATGACTCCAGCATGGGTAGCTTGCAAAAGGAACTACATAGGCTTAAGAGAAAAGTTCCTTTCCAAATTGAGGGAGTGAAAGAGATTCATGAATTTTCAGTGCTTGGGCTGGCACTCCTTTTGGTCTGACTGAGCGTCAGGCTACCAGCCTTCCCCCAGCTGGGTGCTGTGCCAGGCAGGAGAAAGGACTGAGAGAGAGCAAAAAGAGCTGGATTTCTTATTTTAAAAAACAAAATAACCTCCTACCTCCTCTCTAACGCGTCTCCATTAATACCAGCTTGAGTGGCAGAGCAGGAAACTGGCTGAAAATGAACAAAGAGCCACGCGGCAGGGATGCTAATGCAAGCAAATGCCAATTCACACTTCAGCATGCGTCGTGTGGCAGCTTCCCTTCCTGTTCAAACATTTTAGCTAGATAATGAGTTGAAAAAAACCCAACATTTTTAGCATAATCAACCACGTTTTCAAGGGAGAAGAAATAGAAGAAGGGGAACTGTGGTGCTAATTATTTGCTGTTGCTTTGGCTGCAGCACTGTGTGGGGGGCTCAGTGCTAATTGCACACAGTGGCTACAGATCAGGCTATGGGTGTTGGCTGCTGGGAGGAGCTGGTAACTCATCACCAACCTAAATGGCAGTCAGGGCATGTCCTGAAACAGCTGTTGGGAGGGCAACTTAGCCAAATGGGATTTCATATCAATAGTGATTGGGGTTGCAGTAGGGAAACGGAGCTCTGGAGAGTGCTGGTAGCTGTCTGGTCCAGGGCGGTGTGTTGATGGGAAGCAGATGGTTGGCTGCTTTGCTTTGCCAGCAGATTATGGAGTTTGCTTCAGATCATCTTCCATGGCTCCCTGGGAGCTCTGAGTTCCCACCTGCAGCAGAGTATTGCCTCAAGCGTGTTACCTGGGTAGAGTTGGCAGTGATGCTCTTGAATGGAAAGTAGCTGCATGCTGGGGTGGTCCTTGTCATCCTTAGGGTCCTGTGTGACCAAAGCAGGCTGTTGCCTGGGGCTCCCTGTAGTACATCCCAGTGAATTTCGCAAGCACATCTGCAGGCTCACCTTCCAGAAACATCTCATGCTGATATCCTGGGCTACCATTTTGAGGTCCCTCCTCCAACACCTCCTCCATCTGAGAAAGCAATGAAAGGAGGTTATGGCTGCTGGGCTGGCCGATGTGGATCGGGAACTGCTGGACCAGCATTGCCCTGATGCTCCCCTTGGAAATGCCTGCTTTGTGCTCCCGAGGTGTCCTTGTCTTCTGCCTGCAGGTGTGCAAGAGATAAGATGGCAGAGAGAGAGAAAGGCTGGATGTAGGGAAAACTTGCTGGAGAGAGAAATTAAGATGGACATGGCCAATATGGATAGACAATGAAAGTTCTGGAACTTTACCTCTGCTGAAGGGGAGATGGCAGGTGGCTTTGCGTTGTTTTTAAAAAATTAGGTGCTGGAACTTAACTATCCCAAGTACATTAAACTTTTCCATAGTCTTTAAGCCCGAATTAACTTTGTCCCTGACTTCCACATCACCCAAGAGACCACTGCCACTAAAAATGTAATTTGAATTTTCTGCTTGAAAGTTGATGCCAGGCGGCACCAGAAATCAATGGCTTGACTTGGTACTTGCTGTAGTAGCTATAGCTGTCACTGAGTAATGCTATGAGATCTCCATGGTCAGAATGCTTGATTTTTCCTCCTTTCAGAAAGCAGAGCTTTATTCCCCTGTTTCACAGCAGTCCTGGCTGCTTGGGTACCAAGGTTCAATGTGCTTTGGCAGCAGAGACTTGGCATGGTTTGGTGATGGTCTACTGCCAAGTGCTAATTCTTCCTCTATTAGAAATTCTTGGTTTAATGGTGATGGAAAAGCTCGTGCAGGAGAGGAGTCCAAGATCTGAACACCTATGCTATCCCTCTGTTGGCTGCAAAACAGGTTGAAAAAGTGAAGGGTGCATATTTTTCAGCTGAAACTTTTAATGCTTGTGAAAATGTAGATTTGGGTCAACTAAATTGTTTACTGAGTTTTGTTCAACTTGTGAAGTTACTTCAGCTGGAGCATCAAGAATTAAAACTAATGTGTATATATATGTGCTTTGCCTTTTTGGAAATTACTTTAGGTGGAAACTTGTTTCATTTTACTTTTTAAAAGTGTTCAAGCCTTCGAGTAGAATCCAACTCTTTGCATTTAAATGTAACCCACACGATTCAATTTATACCAGCATTTTTCTGTTTGTGGGGAAAGTGGGCTGCCAGCAAACTGAACCTCAGTTTTAATTACACAGTGTACAGACCACTGTCTTGAATGAGGCTCACTCATACACAGTGAGACCCAAACACTTCTGTATCTTAAATACAAGTTACTGAAGGGCTGCGGACAGGAGTATGTGGATGGGGTTGGGGTTTTCAGTAACCTGTATTTATGCCGTCATGGGCAACTTAGAAGTTGCCTTCACAGCTGCTGAAGGATTGGGAAGGGCAATCCAAGAATGTGGTCACTCAAAGTGGGAGTTATTTGATATTGCACAGTCACTGGAAATAATTGATTGACAAAGCTCCAGCTTTTTAGGAAACGCCAGCAAACAGACACTTCAGCTAGATGCCAATGAAATGTGTAGAAGGATGCTCTCTTTGTTGCAAGTAACCTCTGTGCAATATGTCTTCCAATAGGAGAATACAAAGATATTTAAACACTTTACATTTAAATTTCAAATTGTGCTGCACAGTGCTTTTAGAGTGCATAATACTATTTTCTCTTTCTTCTTTTTTTTTTTTTTTTAAGTCACTTAAAAGAAGACGCTCTCTATACTGTACAGAGGCTGTACAGCAGCAGGAAAATGTGACTTTGAAATAATGGCATCTATAAGAATAGGCAATTTCATCCAAGTATAGTGATTTAGTGCCCTGTTAGCGTCCTGATGTATAACTCCTTTTCCAAAAACCCTAAGTTTCTTCACAAGCGTAATGACAGGCTTAAAACTTGTGAGATGAATGTGACAGCTCTCCCTGTCCTCAGCTGTGCCACATAATTACAGGAGCAAAGGAATTTTCTTCTCTCCTAATGGATTATCTCCCAGAGGAATAAATCAGATAATGCTATTGCACCACTGCCACCACGTTTCTTCTCCTTCCTCTCTAAAATGCAGGATAGTCTGTACAATGCAGTGTGAAGCCAGGGCTGGTAATGGCTTTTCTCATCTACAATCTGTGATGGGGTTATGATCCCAATTCCAGTGTTAACATGGACAAACTTCTTGCAGTGACCTGGCTTTGCTGTTGTTTTTTGCTTTGGGCACTAATTTTGGTGTGTTTTTTGTTTGTCCTGCTTCCAGATGATGGCCCTTACTCGAAGGGGAGCAAGGACTCCGGCGGGATGGACTCAGCCCTGGTCTCCAGGAGGCAAAGCATCCCAGGTAAAGGAGGGGATTGGCTCCTGCTCCAACACATCATTGCTTTGGGTGCTGGGCTTGCTGTGCCAGCAGTGTGCCAGCAGGTTTGGAAGGGCTGCTCTAGACAACTTGTCACCTTCCTAATGAAGCTCGGGACAAGGTTTTAACTTCTGACCATTAACACCTAATCACATGTTTGGCTTTGTGTGTTGTAGAGCCTGGGGAGGGAACAGAGCCCTTTAATTGTTTGAACAGCAAAATCCATACACCCATGCTAATAGGAGAAATCCAAGACTATTCTCATCAGATGTTTAAAGGCCATGGCTTGAAGGACCAGGTCCTGCTTAACCAGCTCACTTCCATGTCTGTGTGTGCCTCTGATAGTGGCAGTAGGTTTATAAAGGCACTAACCAACATGCTGTGTTGCTTATCCTGATAGACTGATCTCAGGAACTTGCCTTTTTTCAGAGCAGTAATACCTCCTCAAACCCACAACGATGGGTAACTGTGCTCTGGGAGTTCTCATTTTTAATCACCTATCAAGGATCAAAATTAAACCCCGCTGAAGAGCTAATGATCTCTCCTTTCAGCACCATCTGTGCAGATCAGTTGTGTCTGTAGTTGAGAGGAAATGTGCAGGATAGTGCTGGATGGCATTCCTTCCAGCATGGTCGGGAGCCCCCACAAAGTTTCTGGCAGCCCCTGAATTCCTGAGTCACTGTGTTGAGGAGTAAGTTACTGAGATGGCAAGGGACCAAAACTGTTTGAGATTAAAGAGCAGGAGCATTATGGACCTGATGTTTCTCAACAAGCTGCTGTTGCTACGTTAAATAGGAACCAAGCAGTGCCTGAATGCCTTCCAGACTGTTGCCAGATTGCAAAGATGTCCTCCACTTGTGTTAATCAGGTGCATGGGTTATTCTTGGAAGTGCTTCACCAAGCAGGTAGAGCATGGAAGGATGTAGTGAGGTGCAATTGCTAGAGTTATGATGGCATTACATGAGGAGCAGAATGCTAGTGATGAGGTACTATGGTGCCTAATAACACTGTGTCCTCTCCCAGTGAAATGGAAATACAGAAGGGAAGCCCCCATGACCACAGGTGTGCTATGTCAGTATGTCATTTAAGGCAGCCTGCCTTGGTCTGGAAATCATAGCATGAAAGATGTTTCAAATATTCCCTCTCCAAGCAGAGCATCTTGTTTAAGCCTTGCAGGACTTGGGTCGTTTGCAGTGTAAATTTCAGTCCATAGGCGTGGGACTGCTCTCACTGCCAGCACCCATCACCACCTTCCCCTGAATGGTTTTGGAATAAGTTGCCCTGCATGAGGAACGCTGTGTTTGTCCTGTAAAACAGTGGGGGGATTTCAGCACCCAGAGAGAGTGGAGGTGGATGGATCATAATGTAGACAAATTTTTCAAAAGCAGCTTTAGAGGAGTCTGGCAAGGCATGAAAGTCATCTGATTTGTCCCAGGGCTCATCCTCTGGGCAATGTGAGTGCCGTCGTGTGGATGAAGACAGAGCTGCCCTTCACTGAGTCAGCTGAACTCTTGGTCTCTCCTTGTGCCAGTGCTGGCTCCTCACAAGCTCACCATCTTCTCCACGTCTTAGGCTGAAATAGTTCAGAGATACTGTTTTTGTAAAGCCCGTAGGCGAGCTGTAATGAGATTGAAGTTGGCATTGGGTCAGGTTTGGCTCATAGGTATTGGATGAACAAGAGTGTCTTGTTGGACTGTAGGAAGGCAAAATGGAGGAGCAGTACTGGTGCAGCAGGTGTGGAATGTGCATCTCCTAAACCTGACCCTGCATAATGCACTGGGGCTTGCTTGTGTTGAACCACTTGTTTTAAATGTGTCTTGTGGCTTCAGCTGCAGCTGTAGAGAAGGTGCTTATTACTGAAGAAGTCTTGCTTAGACCAAATGCAGATGTGTGGGGAAACTGCTCTGGATGAATGAGTTCATGCCTTCTCCTCCTTTCCCTCCTGCTGGCAAGATCCCACCTCTCCACCTTATGTTCTTTACCTCATGACTACACTGACATCTCAGGGGTTTTTAAAATCACCACATTTAAGTTCTCCCATGTTCTGTTCATGCAGGCAGCTACTGCAGGTCCACAACATCCTTCCACCTGCTGAATGTGAGCCTGTCATGCAGCCCTCCAAACACCTGCCCTGGTCCATATAAAACGTAGCTCTGGAGGTAATCTCCCTGGACTTAGATGCCACCACTCTGGAAGCACAATGAATTCATTCTCTCACAAGCCCTCACTACCCTGCCTTGCCCTGCTTGCTCTTGTCTCTAGACCTGCATACCATGCTTTTCATGTGGGTCTACCAGCACACACCTCTGCATCACAGCATCGCTTCAAAGAAAGTGGAGCTTTCTGTTCCCGCTAATTGGCACAGACACATTGCCCAGAGAGGTGGTGGATGCTCCATCCTTGGAAACTCTCAATATCAGGCTGGATGGGCTCTGAGCACCTGATGAAGCTGTGGGTGTCCCTGTTCATTGCAGGGAGTTTGGACCAGATGGCCTTTGTGTGTCCTTTCCAGCTCAAATTATTCTATGATTCTATGAATTGTATAAATAATTGCAGCTCTGCTCTCCCACCAGCTGTAGGATAAGGATGTCCTTAGGACTGGGAGGGATATGCCTTACACTGAGGAGTGTGCCTTTATTCCTGATGTTTCAGAGGAGTTCAGAGGGGTCACCATTGTGGAGCTGATCAAGAAGGAAGGAAGCACCCTGGGGTTGACCATCTCGGGTGGCACGGACAAAGATGGGAAGCCAAGGGTCTCCAACCTGAGGCCAGGAGGACTGGCAGCGAGGTGAGAGATGGAAATAGAGCACAGAGGGCACAGGAAAGCTGGGGAAGAGTAGTTCCATGTTCTGCAAATACAGTTATAATTAAAATAATTGGCACAAAGCTTTTTTTTTTTTTTCTTTTTCCCCAGTTGTCTCAATGCAAAGTTGTTGCTTCAGTAAATCAAATGCCTTCTATTTTGAGCTGTTTCCCATGTTCTGTGCAATTATGCTCTGAATTTTTGTGTAGGGATATTTGGGATTCTGTGAAATTAGGCAGCCTTGTCAGGAGAGCTGCATGGTACAATACATCTTGATCAAGCTAAGTGGTTTAATATTGTATCTGTTCTGAATACTGAGTATATAAGTAATGTTACTGGCTCAGGAAAAGAATGAGAGAAGAAAGGCTCCAAGAAGCAGAGAAAGGGAGGGAGTAATTGAACAATTTTGTAGAAAACAGGCAAAAAGCAAGATGTTTTCTTTTCTTCTGTTGAATTTTATTTCAGACAGCTCTTGGTACACTTCTCTTTGAGTGATTGCTCTACGTGAATGGGAATCGAGCAACAAAAAGAGAAGGTTGTGAAAGTGCATGTGGCAATTGTTACTGTATGTACAGATCTGAACATTTGCCACTAGGAAAGATAGATGGCTTCAATTTTAGCATTCCTCTCTGAGAACAGGCTCATGCAATCACACAGCTAAGATCAGCCCTGCCTGGTGCCTTGTTCACAAGATCTCGTGGTTATCAAAGGCTGCTATGCACTGCCAGCCTGGCTATGGTGGAAGCTTTGTGCTACCCCTGCTTTCTCCCTCCTCGTTCACAGAAGTGACCAGCTGAACGTTGGGGATTACATCAAGTCGGTGAACGGCATCAACCTGACCAAGCTGCGGCACGACGAGATCATCAGCCTGCTGAAAAACGTGGGTGAAAGGGTAGTGCTGGAAGTCGAGTATGAACTTCCCCCAGCCGGTGGGTATCGTGACAGCCCTGCTCTCTTTCATTAGCCACGCTTTCACCTGGGGTGCAGATGGGCTTGCTCGTGCTTGGGTCACCGTGGACGAAGCAGGACTTGGGGGCATGGTGCTGTTCTGCCTTCGTGTGCTCGCTGGATGCGGCCGCGCTGTGTGGGGTTGGAGCAGAGTGCTTTTTCCAGCACAGTGGGTGCCTGCTCATGCACACCGGCAGGAGATGGCTGATTAGATCTGTCTTGCCTCAGAGTGACTTGGTAGCACAGGCCAATCTGCCTCCTGATGCTACTTCAGCTTTTCTGTCTTTTTTTTCCCTTTTGGAGTGTGGCAATGGGAGGTTTTATTCAGTTCTAAGTATATATTGCCAGATACTATTTTCTGAATGGCAGAAAGTGCTGTTATTGCTCAAGATGCTTTTGAAATGTTTGGCATTTTCAGATGAGATGGAGCTGAAGCAATCTGCCTTCTAGCTAAGGGGCCTCGGGCAGAGGCTGGCAAGCCTGGGTAACATAAACAGGGCTTGTGTCATGCTGTGGGACACAGTGTGCTTTTGCACTGATTCGTTTGTTCTGATTATAACAAACAAGTGCCTCAGTTCACCTTCTCATCACAATCTTTTCTTTGTGAAAATGATCTCTCTGGTTATTATTGTTATTCAGAGGGTCAAACAGAGAATGACTGGGCAGAAGGAGTAGAAAAAAACAGAAAGGGAAAAACAAAACTAATGAAATCTAGGTGTTTTACCCCAGATATGAACCTGTCTTACACTTTACAGGTCTGCTGCAGTTTCTGCATTTACCTTAAAATTCAGAATATATTAATGACGTCCAACAAACCCAACACCCAAACCCCATGGTTCAAGTTTTCCATGATCTCATGCTTGCTGGAGATGACAACTCTTAACCTTTCTGCTTAGCTGTGAGCCTGGCTATTAGGAATCTGATCAGCTGTCCTTCCAGCTGAGGAGCAGTGCCAATACTGCATAGCTCAATCAATAGCAGTGAGGCAAAATGTCTCCATTCTGATTGAGCAGGAAGAACACACTGAAATAGCGACTTTTCTCAGATGGGATTATTGATGCTGTTTATGACTAATCCAAACAAAGACACACTGCAAAATACGAGGAATTGTCCGCTGCTGCCTGGCTCCAGTTCATTGTTGGTTGCTTGTGTGCTTTTATCTGTGGTGAGGGCTTGCTGTTGCTGTGTGCACTCGCTTCTTTCTCCCCAGGCAAAAAGCAGAACTGTAGTGCAATTCAATAACTTGTGTATGTGTGTTTCCATTTTTCTCCCCACTTTATAATTTCCTGCTTTGGAAGAGACCAAGTCTAAGTCTAGTTTTCAGGCCACTGTGTCATATCATCTCTTTCTTGAATAAACCAAGCCTTGAATTAATTCTAGCTGAGGTTTTTCTGCTCCCACTGCTCTTATGAAAGACTGCTGCAGAACTTCATGCTTGGATGCTTAGGACAGAAATTGGACTGTTTCCTAACTCATTTGTGGATGCTTTATGCCCTTCTCTTGGTATGGGAGCCTTCCTGTGCCCCAAGCTTTTATGTTTTGAAGTATATCTAGGCTGCATCCTCATCAGCACTCAGTGCAGGAGCAGAGCAGCTGAGCAGGGCTCTGGTTTGGGAGTATATTTGGCCTTGCTGCAGCCTGGTCCCCAGGGCTGCCTGTCTGCACGTGGGCGCTGTGCCTCAGCTGTGCATCTTTGGGGTGAGTTTAACCCTAACTGGGGCAGGTCCCAAGCCCTTGGGGTGCTTGGCAGCGAGGATCAACTTGATCACTGAGCACAGAAGGGAGACTGGCTTCCAAAACCCTTCCTGAGCCAGGGAAAGGGCTGGCGTGGGATGTGCCTGAATGCCTCCTGCTTCTCTGGTCATCCCTGCGGCCATTTGTTGCAGCTGGTTTGAAGACTGTGAATTGATCTTTTTGGAGTGGATGAGGCTAAAATGCCATGCACCATTTTGGATGGAGAAGATTGGAAAATTGTCTCATATTCACAGCAGTACTTCAATAAATCATTAAATAGCAGCAGATGGCAAGAGGCAGAAACAATTTTCTTTCTTTTTCTCTTTACTTTTGTACATTAAATAGTACTGTGTATTTAATATAAAATTACTGAATTGCCCCTAGGATCAGTTTAAAGGATTCACTTAATCTTTTTTTAAAGTCAAAATGTAGGAGGGAAGGGAAAAAAATCCTCAACCTTTTGCACTGAGGATTTGGGATTTTCATTTTCTTTAAGGTCAACCGGTGGCTCGACTCCTTACACTGCTTCTGTTTTTTTGGTTTTTTTTTTTAAAGTAAGTTTCCATCCGTGGCAGAAGCTTCTGGGCTTTGAGTAATACTGAACACATTAAAGCTGGCTGATAAACGGGAGGGTTTTACTTGAATGTCAGAGTATTAGCCAAGACGGATTTGAGAGGAAACACACAATGCTGAGCTGGTCAAATCATCCCCGACCATGGTGGTTGACTCTAGCAAAGATTTAGACTGTCTAGATTGGGTTTTGTGCCTCTAAACAGGGAAGATAGAATAAGGGATGGACTTTTCATTTTAGTGTTATTTGGCTGAGTTTTGTTATTATCTTGCAGAGTGGCATGGAGAAGGTTTGTCTGGGGGTAACCAAGTTGTTCTCTCTTCCTTTAGTGCCAGAAAGCAGCGCTGGCATTATTCCCAAGACCATTGAGGTGTCCCTCTACAAGGAAGGCAACAGCTTTGGCTTTGTGCTCAGAGGTTAGTGGCTTCTCCGCTGATAAATGAATGGGGTACGAATACTGGCAGAGGTGATTTAGGAAGCAGGAGAAGAAAAGAAAGACAGTGAATGTCATACCACAGACGAGAAGCAAAAGTGTGCCCCAGAGAGCAGCTTGTGCAGCTTGAAGGCTTCCTAATCTAGGGCACTCTTTGCTTTCGAGCTGTGTCAGCTGTTATATGATAAATGTCTCTACTTTCTCAGCACTCTCATTCAGAGTCTCAAACCTCCAGTGACTTACAGCTTTCCTGGTTTGCTTACAGGGGGAGCCCATGAAGACTGGCACAAGTCCAGACCGCTTGTGCTCACCTATGTGAGGCCGGGTGGCCCAGCAGACAGGTACTGCACCTCCAGCGTTTGCTGTCACAAAACAGACTAGCAGCTTTCATTGCACTTTTGGACAAATATCCTTCTTGTCCTCCTTGCTGGGGTCTCCCCAAGGCCTTTTATGCTGCTCCTGCAGAGGTGGAGTGGAACCCTTGGTGTGCAGGGGAGAATGGATCTGGTGCTGTTAGGGTGACCTATCTTTGGAAACATCAGAGGCTCCTCTTCCACAGGCAGCCACCTAATTAACCTGTGCAGATGAAGAACTGATGTTATATTAGAAAGCCAGAAGCAGCCTATGTATTGTCATGCTGCTAATTTAACGTGGTGGGCCTGACACTATAAATAACCCAGGCTATCAACTCCTCGGGATCAAATTAATTGATATTTATATATATATATATATACACACACACACATGCACATATAGAAATACTTTTCTTTTTCTTTTTTTTTTTGTTTTGCTTTTATGTAACTTCTGCCTGTGGTTTCCTATAGAGAAGGGTCCTTGAAAATCGGGGACAGGCTGCTGAGCGTTGATGGGATCCCTCTGCACAGTGTGACCCACGCTGACGCCCTCAACATCCTGCGGCAGTGCAGCCAGGAGGCACTCTTCCAGATCGAATATGATGTGACCATCATGGGTAAGGCCAGGATGACCGCGGTGGCATTTGCTCTGACCGCCTGCAAAGTGTGTGGGGTTAGAGTCAACTGTGGGGTCACTTGATTTCAGTGGAAAAGCTGCTGCCTACATGGGAGTAGGGGGTAGAGTTCAAAGCTGACTTAGTTGAAGGTGTCTGAAATGCCCTTATCTTATGATGTGTCCCAGTGGGAATGTTAACTGATTTTAGAAGAGGAGGAAAAAGAGGAGTTTCTAATGTAGGAGAAGTCGGAATTGAAGTGGGCTGGAATGTCGGTGCTCTGCCAGCACTGAAAATACTGATATTAGATGTGTGCAGGGCAATGAGCTGTGAGCAGGCATTGGATTGCTGTGGCTGTGGCTTGGCTTCTGAATTTTGACCCTGTTTAATTCTAGAGCAGTTTCTTTTCTTAGAACTTTCAGTTCAGATCTGCTTCTGAAATAAATGAGGAGTGTCCAACTGACTGACCCCAGAGAAGACAGAACTTACTGGAGGGCAGAGGATGGCTATTTCTAAAAATGATCTATCTACACAGTGGATACCAAGTTTGAGGGCATTATATTTCTTTTTCCATTTGATTTTCAGATTCACGCTCTGGGAAAGAGTTTATTATTAGCTACTATAAAGTCATTTTGAGCTGGCTTTGTGACACACAGCTGTTACTGCAGGGAGCATAGTTAATGAGTTTTAGGTTACCACAGAGTCCGAAGCTGTGCTGGCTCTGGAAGCTCAGTGAGCTGTGTGCTCAGATTTGATGTTGCAGCTCTGTCTCCAGAGGGGTTTTCTGCCTCTGCTGGAGCTGCAAGCTGGAGTAGTTTGGAGTCTCTTCTGCAAATCTCACAAACCAGCACAGCACGTGGGAGCCTGAGATCCAGCGAGGAACAGGAGTCAGATCAGGTTATTTTCTGATTTACCAGCGAGGAAGCAAATCAAAAGCAGTTTAATACCTCCCCACTGCTGAGCAAACAGAGCTGAGAATGCCAGAACTTGTTCCATGCAACGTGCAGGAGAGATACTGTAGAGTAATGGAAATCCTTCTGCAATTCCTGAAGGCTTTCTCTTTCTTTCTCAGCCTCTTTCCCCCAAACTGCCCTTCCTTTCACAACAAACACTGCAAGGATGGATGTACTGATTTTAGAGCTGTGTCCCTGTGTGGAGAGGCTGCCAGGAGCTGGGCAGCTGTGTATCACACTGACACGTGCTCTGCTGGGAGAGCTGGAAGGAAAACCCAATGTCTCTGCAGCTACCTGTGTGCAGCCTGGCCTCTGCCATGTTATGGGAGCAGCTGCTCCTTAGAGATTGGTTGGCATTCAAGAAAAAGAGGAAAGCCTTAAATTATGGAAAACAGAAAATCATAGAACAATTTATGTTGGAGGAGACCCTAAAGATCTTTGAGTTCCAACCCTGTGCCATGGGCTGGTTGCCACCCACTATCTCAGCTTGCCCATGCAGCCTGGCCTTGAGCACCTCCAGGGATGGGGCACTTGCACCCTCTCAAAAATACCTAAACTCTATTTTCTATGTTTGGAAATGATTTTGATTGCAGGAGGTCAGTGAGGGCTGTTCCCTCTGGAGAGCAGCAGTTAGCACAGAGCTTTCCAGTCTGAATAGAAGCAGACATTTAGTGGTGCATGGGTAATGGGCTTTTTGGAATTTTGTTGTTTGTATGGTCCCTTGATGCCTATGCTGCAGAAAGCTGATTGTTTTAGATCCTGACTTGAAGCAAAAATAGCAGTTAAAGTGTCTCGGTATTTCTTCTTGAGTAACTCTTCCACCTAAAGCTGGCAGGGTTGAGTGAACACAAGCCAAGTCAGGTTCTGTGCAGTGATTCTTCTTGTACTGCTGTACATTGGCCACGACCAGATGCTTCCCAAGAAGGTGTAAAACAGCCCCTTTTTAGCTATTTTCTTCATAGATTGCTTCTCCCCACTCCCGTAAAGCAAGATGATGTAGTATTTGTAGCTTAATAATATTTGCAGCTGATTTTGCCAGGCAACAGCTAATAACTGCAACCAGAGATGAGTGCTTTGTCCCCAGGTCACAATTAGTACAGATATTCTCTTTACCAACTGAGGGACAATGATGAGGGAAGGGAAAAGCAGCTACTGGAAGCAGTATGGGAATGCAAGCAGCCAGAAGGGAGCACTACACTTAGAAAACCAGTTCTTGGCAAAGGGGCTGGGCTGGGGGACACGTGGCCCTTGGCTGATGCCAGATAAACATGGCAATAAGCAGATGCCTTTCTTCTGGAACACAGAAGAGCTGTGCCTTTGCCATGGATGCTTGAGGAGGTTGCAGACATGCCTGATGGGCCAGGTGCCAAAGCCAGCAGTGTGCATTGACTCCCTGCAGGAAGGTTATTGCATGCCCTGCCCTGTCCTCTCAGCATTTCGTTTTAAATTAGTTTGGGTGTAATAGCCCTGTGTTAATCAAGCCTCACAAATACTGCTAAATTGCAGGCTCTTGACCTTTGATTTGAGTCAAACCTTAGTGCTCAGCTGGTATTTCTCAATCAGATGCCTCAATAAAATGTATTTGAATGTATTGCTTTGTCTGTGGCATCAGCAATGAAGATTAAAGGAATGTCAGGGTGGCCCGTGCTGTGCAGGGTTGAGAAGGGCCATGGGCTGAAAGAAGGGACCTAATTTCATTGCAAGCATAACTGAGATCTAGCACCCCAGCATTCTGTTTCCTATCTTCCTCCCTTTGGCTGAAGGAATGTATGCCTTGAATGTATCACTTTCAGAGGATGTGTGCTGGATGCACATGGGCTGCCGTACTAACGTAGCTGATGCTGTTGGAAGTCCTTGGTCTATTGGTGCTTCCTTGCTAATTAAAGCTTCAGTGCACCTTCCACAGGCTTTACCCAAGTACTCTGGGCACTTTTTTATTGAGATGGAGCTGTGCTTTGAGCCAGGGCCTGCAGGTCTGTCCAGTAGTCCTTTTCAGCTCAGTTTAAATAGTGTTTCATTTAAAGCCTTGCCTAGTCTTCACTATTGCTCATTCCTTCTTCTTCCTCCTCCTGGAAAAAGGATGCTATGAGTAGACCATAGTCTATTGATCCCCTGGCTGATCCCCAGACAACCAAAAAGCTGTCTTCAGAGACTCAGAATCTTCAACAAATCCCAGGAATGATCTTGCTGCAGCTTGGTTTCCAGGATCTTCATCAATGCTCCCATTTATCAGAGTGCTAGAATGAGCCATGCATCACATTTTGGAGCCAAGTAGCATCAGTGTTTTTAGTGGAGCAGAGCTTTGGAAGAGAAAAGCCTCACCATGAATAATGAAGGGCTGAGGAGGCATCAGGATCTCAGGGGGCTTTGGCAGCCTTTCCTTTGAAGTGGATGTTTGGATTTCCATGAAGTGCTCTCAAACTAAACAAAGCATGTGGTAGGAAGCCCTGCGCCTGCTCCCACAGGCAGAAACGTGCAGTGATAAACTGCAGAGTTGATGCTGGAGTAGCCAGGAGGTGCTAACTTATGCTGCTCTTCAGCATGTGAAGCTTCTGAATGCCTCAGGAAATGGGATCCTCTTTCCTTTGGGCCTTTTTGAGTTTGTTTAAAAAGAACTCTCAAATAATGATGTCCTTGTGATCTTTCCTTTTTGTGCTTCTCTTTTAATATGGTTGATGTGACGGCAGCACAGACTTTGAGCATTTTCTTCCTTGATCTTGTTATTTAACCTAAAAACAAGAGGCAAGAGGGTGGTTTCTATGAGTGAATTTTGTAATCTCTCTTCACTCTCATAAATACTCTGTGCAGAAGCAATTTTGCTTCTTGAATTTCTTTCTTTGTTAACTTGCTACGTGATGCAGAGTTGTGAGGTTGTAGGATGTCCAAACCATCAAGTATAATCAGGTCAGCAGAATTGGCCATCCCTTTGTTCGCTTCTGTGTTTTACATTTTGCTACTGCAAAAGGCTGTACGAGAAGAGTCTTCTCTCTTGTTTTGCAGATACTGTAACGAATGCTTCGGGACCTCTACTAGTTGAAATAGCAAAGACTCCAGGATCGACGCTAGGAATCACACTGACAACAAGCACGCATCGGAACAAGCAGGTCATTGTCATTGATAAGATCAAGCCGGCCAGTGTGGTGGACAGGTACAGAGCTGAACAGACTGCTCCAGTTCTCTATCCTTCACTGCATTTCAGTCCCCTTTTCAGTCATATGTCATTCTTCCCCACCTCACTTTGAACTGGCCATGTCCACGTGTTTGTAGCTCTAAGCATGCTAAAAATATTTGACCTAACATGGGTGGACACTCTTCACCATGAATGAATGTAGTTCATGGCATGGATAAGCTGAGATTTGATTTAAAAACCTCAGATCTGACTGTCCTGGAGCTGTGGAACATTCTGTTTAGAGCAGGTAGGTAGGGCTTACTGTCCTGTTGGTTGAACACCCAGCTATGACCATGCATTACTGAAAACTTAAAAGATCTTTCCCGAGGCACCAGCATCACTCATGTAGACTTGGACCATTGGAGTTGGTATTTTTCTCAATGCTTGAGCCTGATGTTCAAGCTGAAAGTAAAAAATGAGATGTGGAAATACATTCAGATGAAGCAAAACAGGTGGAATTTATCCATTTCTGCTCCCAACCACAAGGACGTGAATTTTGACTGTGTGTATAATTACTCTTGCTTTTTCCTTTGCAGATGTGGAGCACTGCATGTTGGTGACCATATTCTCTCCATCGATGGCACAAGCACAGAGCACTGCTCCTTACTAGAGGCAACTCAGCTTTTAGCTGCCACCTCAGAAAACGTCAAGCTGGAGATATTACCTGTTCACCAAAGCAGGCTGCCTTTGAAGCCCCCGGAAACAGGTGTGTCCTCCATGCAAACACTGTTGGTTGCCCTCAAAACTCAGTTGAGGTCCCTGCTGTGGCTCTCACTGCTTTTGAATGCTGGTAATAAACTCCAAAGACAGACATCTGTAGAAGGGAAAAAAAATTTTGATGAAATGCGTGTGATTAGATGATGTTCAACGATGTGAATAGGAAAAAAAAAAAGGTAGCATCTGTGCTTGAATAGGAAAATTGGCATTGGGAATCCCAGAGTTTTGCAATGCTGAGTGCTGTGCAAGCCGCTTTCTTAGTACCTCAGATAAGAGACTTTAATGGAGAGGGAGGAAAACAGCGTTGATGCTGGCAAATGTGTTTCCAAGCTCAGCTTTCATCTACTTGCCTAGTAAGGCTTTGTAAAGGATATGTCAGCAGCTAGACAGGATTCCAGTGGACTTCCTTAGGAAACAAAGCTGAAACACAAGCATTCATTGTGTGGACCAGCCTGTCTGAATGAGGGCTGCTGCTGTGTTGTTTTTTGTTCCCCTCAGAGAAATACTAGAAACAAATTCTGGCTCATCAAACACCAAATACCTGTGAATTTCAAACATCATTCTCTTGCCTGCGGTTTTGTTAGTCATAGAATCATTGAATCCTTTGAGTTGGATGGGACCCTTAAAGGCCATCTGGTCCAACTCCCTTGCAGTGAACAGGGACATCCACAGCTCCATCAGATGCTCAGAGCCCATCCAGCCTGATCTTGGCTGTCTGCAGAGGTGGGGCATCACCACCTCTCTGGGCAGCCTGTGCCAGTGCCTCACCACCCTTATTGTCCATATTGGAGATCTTGTATTTCAGCTGTTTCTGTCTCAGCCCCTTTCGTAACCATTTTCCAACACTTTTCCTCTGCGTGTGTGCATTGGAGTCTCTTTCTCTGGAGATATTCAAGACCCACCTGAACACCTACTTGTGCGACCTGGTGTAGGGAGCCTGCTTTGGTAGGGGGGGTGGACTCGATGATCTCTGGAGGTCCCTTCCAACCCCTACAATTCTGTGATTCTGTGATTTTAATAATACTGATGCACAAGAGCTACGGGGCCCACTTCCTTTTCTGTTCTCTTCTAGGGAGGTTTGGTGAAAGGAAGAAATTATCTGTGTTGTCTTCTCTAATATGATGCAGTGAAACATAGAATCTAATAACATCTTTGTGTCTAGAAATAAATCTCTTACACATCCAGTCCCATTTGTGCAGAATTAAAGCCGTTTAACAAAGGGGACGGATCACTTGACCTTTGTGCCCAAGACAAAATGGAAAGCTATAATCCTTTTTCAACGGCTGTTAAAATGAACTATTCTACTTCTTCCATTTGTGCCCTGCTCTTAATCTCCATTCAGGATGTATGCATTCAGCAGCATCAGGAGAAGGAGGATCTGTGGAAGGACTGCTCTGTGTGTTCTAGAGGCTTTTTCCCATACCTCCACACATCAGATCAGTGTCCCCACTTTGGTTAAACTCTTAAGGACGTGAGGGATCATAGGGAAGGAAAAAGTACAGTCTTTGTGGTCTAATGCTGAAGCACAGGATTTGTCAAATGGAGTTAGCTTTCTCTGCTGCTCCGGGGGCATCTGGAAAGATTGTGGGAGGATTATGCTCACAAGATCAGCAGGAGCGGATGGTGCCCAGGAGCAGCGCTGGGATGGCTGGTGAAAAGCAAGGCAAGCATGGGGAAGGCTCTTGTGGGTTTTTATCCCCAGATTGTCCAAAACCTATTTTCTTCCCCTTTGCAATGACATCCGAGTTTCATAGGCATTTTTTTCTGTTGTGTTGGCTACGGGCTGAGAACTTAAAGACAAATGGATATGAATGGATTAAACCGTTTTATATATATGCCCGTAAGCTCTGTCACTCGTATTCTAAGTATTTAATTTTATTAAGAATTCTCTTTTTTTGACTGGATTCAGCTCCATTTACTCATTTGATGATTGTTTTTAAAAGCCTCCTGACTCTGAGATTGCTTTTGAATTCACAAAATAGAAATGCCAGAGCTGAAAGTGGATGTTTTTAGAGTAAATAGAGTTACTTGATAGAGTAAATGCTAAAGTCACTAAAACAAAGACTTTAAAATAATCGTTGTTTCGATCAGAAAATCTGACCTAAGTGATTTGATGCCTGTGGTGCATGTACACAAGATGGATTTTCATTGATAAAGGCACCAAGTGATGATCTTTAGAAGAGCTCTCTGGCTTGACACTCTGGGTTGAGCTGAGTCCTTCTCCCTGGTTTGCACCCTCAGAAAGCTCAGTAGTGCCTGTGCTGGGGGAGTTCCCACCTACAGGGAGAGCACAGAGGAGGTCTCATTTGGGAAGGGTGGTTGCTAGTAAGCACCAGTAGTGGGAAGGTTGAGAGCTGTCTTGATAGCACGGTGCAGGGATGGGCAAGGGCAACTGAATTGACTCCACGCTATCCATGAGTAAAAGGGGTATCAGTGAGAGGAAGGACCTGTGTCTGAGGGTTTGTTTTTGCCACTGAGAGAGGATTTGTGGCATCGCTACTTGATGAAAACAAAGCCACGTCCCCTGGGACAAGGGATTTCTGGGCAGTGGATGTCACGCTGCAGAAGATCTCTGCTAACATGTGCTGGAGTGGATTTAGGGTGGAAACTAAAGCAGTTGTGTGGCCTTGTATTGGGTCTGCCATGTTGGTGCCACATCTTAATTTATTGTTTGCCATAGCACTGGCAGCTCTTTCTGTGTTGGTGGCCTTGTGTAATTGCCTTTAAGCAGCAGTGTATAAAATCCCTTTTGTTCTGGTAAGCTGGAGTTGGCCCACTGCTGCTCCCTTTTCCATATGTGCACCCTGCCATGGATTCCTGGCCAAGAGCAGCTGCTAAGCACCCAAATGCTGAAGCCAAGCGAAGTGCTGGAAGCACCACTTGGCATTGAGCTTCATCTGGGGAGGGCAGCAAGGTGGGAAGCAGCACGAGGAGGTTTCCCCAGTGCTGTCGGATAATGCTGATGGCCTCTGTTGGAAACTCGTGGCTGGAGGCAGCTTCTGCACGTCGCACAGCAGCCTGCAAATGGTAATGACATCTGTGTGCTGCCAGCACGGCTTAGTCAGGCTGTTGGCTCAGGACACGGAGTTTTTTGAGGGGAATGGGTAAATTTCTGCCACTTTGCATTAAGTGTCATGAGGTTACATGGGGATGCATTTTTGCTGCTGGTGCTTGACACTCTGTGCTTGCTCCCTGACTTGTTCAAAAGCAGTGTGAGTCTCCTCTCTACGGTCTCCCAGCTTCTTACCTTTTCTTTCTCTCATTTCTCCATGCCTATGGTGATTTCTGCTCTCCTGGGTGACATCAGTCAAGGTGCAGAAGAGTGACCACCACCACTGCTGGGACCCCTGTGTCAACTACTGTCACACCCACCACCCTGGGCACTGCAAGACGCCCACATGGAACCAGACATCTGGACAGGATTATTGCAAATGTAACCTCTGTGCACGGTGTTGCCCCCATCCTTACGTGTGTTCATTTGTGTTGTGCCTCTCCATTTGCTTCACATCCATCTCGGTAGCCTGGGGCGTCACTTACTTCCTTCAAGATTGGTTGGATCTCTCCCATAGGTGCACTGCTGAAGTGCAAAATCTGGTGCAAAATTGGTACCTACAGCCCACACACAGAGCTGCTAACTTCAGTTAGAGCAGAATGCTGGGCAGACCCTTTGTTCTCATCCTTTAGTCCCACACTTCCATATAGGCGAGGGAAAAACTTGAGTTGCTGTGAACCAAGGAGGGTAGCTGTGGTGATATGTAGGGATGTGGAACTCCAATGCACCCAGCTCAGCCTTGCTGATGCAAGATGTATGTTAGAATTGGGAAGCAAGCAAGGGAGCCTCGTTGCTCAGCAGATAGTTGAAGCTGTGGTTTCCCAGTCCTGAAGCTGAAAAGGAGGTAGTTCAAAACCAGTAGGAGTTCAGTGAACACCCGTTAGGTGAGCACACTGCACCCTTAACATGCTCTGTATCTCCCCAGCTCTGGTGGCTGCCAACTTCTCATCTCCCACCATGAACGCGCAGGGCTTCCCCTGCCAGAACTCGAACACGCTACCTCGCAGCTCCCACCCCATGAGTCCCCGCACCACCATGCTGAGGAGGAGGCAGAAGAAGAAGGAGCACAAGAGCTCATGTAAGTGTGATGGTGGGCTGGAGACGGGTTGGACATGATGCTGTGCTCACTTTGCTGGCTGTTGGCTGGCATAGGCCTTGCTCATCACAGCAGTCAGGGCCTTGGTCATCCCCTGGCACCGCCTGTGACTGTGGCTGCCCTAACTTCTGCCTCTCTTCTCCTCTCAGTATCGTTGGCCTCCAGCACGGTGGGTCCTGGCGGGCAGATAGTCCACACGGAGACGACAGAGGTGGTGCTCAGGGGAGACCCTTTGAACGGCTTCGGACTTCAGCTCCAGGGAGGCATCTTTGCTACTGAAACCCTGTCCTCCCCACCTCTCGTCCGTTTTATTGAGCCTGACAGCCCGGCAGAGAGGTTAGAGACCTTGCCCTTGGATGCTGATGATGCTGCTGCTGACCATTTCATGGTTTGGTTTGTTTTCTCTCCTCAGAGGCTCATTTAGATATTTACTGTCATCTTTGTAATATCTCCCATTCTTCACTGGGCATGGTTTACTGTCACTGCCATTTCTGCACTCGTCGGCTGACCGCGGCCTCCCTCGCATCCCAGGTGAACGTCTTGGCACCAGGCCGTGGCTGTTCTCAGAAGAGGAAGGGAGTGTGTGTCTGTGTGTGAGCACCATTCCCATCCCTTTTGTTTTGTTATTTTTTTTTCTTTCTCATTGAAATATAAAGCTTTTGTCTGGTTGCAGAAAGAGGAACAAAGGTATATAAGTGAGCCCTGGAAAGTATTATCTGCTTGGTTTTGTTGTAGCAGAATCCAGCTATATAAATTGACCTAAAGGTTTTGAACCACCAAGGAGAGCTCTGGTGTAGGATCTGGAAAAATAGCAGAAAATGCTGGAAAATAGCAGAGTGAAGGAGCAGCATTACTGCTGTGTGTGACCCTGAGGATACTGAGAGCAATGAGCCCTGCAGGGGCTGAACCTCAGTGTGGGAGCCCTGGTTAAACTTTTTCCGAAGTCTTTGCTGTTGTAGATGCCCTCGAATGATGTTACTCTTGCTGGATAGACCAGGTCCCAGGATGGGTCTGGTGTTGACTTCTTGTGCCATCTGACCCCTGGTTGTGGCAGGGTGGTAGCAGCATGGGAGTCCAGACAGGGAGTACAGGGGCATGGAACTGGCATAGGAAAGTGCACTGTCCCAAGTGACGCAGGTTAAGAGGGGCTTTAAAAGCCTTTTATGCTTTTTGTTTGTTTGCTTCCAAACAACAATGAAAGTGGTGGCATTTTGGATTTTCATTCTCTATTACCAGGGTGAAGTCGGCTCACATTGCAAAGCACTGAACTTCTTTTATAAATCAGGCAGCAACAAAGCCCGCTGTCCCAGGGAAGAAGGGAGATGTGCTGGAAGGTGCCTGGCTTTGCTTTATCCCCTTGCCAAAGCTGGGGTGAAAGCAAAGCCTCATAGCACAGCCTGGCCTGTCTCAATGTGCCATGCACTGCTCTCCCTCATGGCTCCCACCCAGCAGGATTCACACTCCCCTGGCTGCTGCCCTCTGCTTTGTGGTGGAGGGGAGCAATCCTGTCTGTGTTTGCAGTATGGATTTGATTTGGGGATTAAATCTCTGCAATGTATTTCTTCCTTTCCTAGACTGTGCTGCTTTTCCTCTCTGAAAGGTAGACACTTTATCGATCCCTGTCTCTAACAGACCTTCCCACTCCACCCTGGTTTTGTTTCCTGGGTGCAAGATGGAGCCTTTGGGTTCAGAGTGAGACAGTGGTCTGTCCCCGGTTATCAGCAGGGAGGGTCAAATGGGACAGCACATTTCTTCTTTTCTTGACTGCCTCCAAACAAACAGCTGTCTGTCCATCTTCCCTCAGCTGTCATAGACAGCAATGCAAGAATATCTGCCTTGTCCATCTTGGTATCCAAAATCAATGCTTCCTGCTGCGTTACATGTTTCCTAGCTCTATTCAGACAGCTGTTTGATCATCATATTTCTGGCTTTTGAGTGTGAAGAGTTTGCAAAAGGAAAGTTCAGCAGCTGCGTAATGCTATCAGCACGGCTTTCATCTTCTGGGGGCTGTGACTCAGCCATCAGTGTGCTCACAAAGATGTCAAACAGACACAGATATACAAACACCCACGGATGTGTGCCTCTAATCCATACAGGTCAGCTCAGGGGTGCGTAAGGGCACAACACATTGGTTTCTGCAGCCAGTGATGTGCTTGCTCTGCAGCTGGAGTGACCACACATACTAATGACAGTGAAGGAGATCTTCGGCACACACTCAGCCCAGAGCTTGAATTTGTGCTGCTCAGTGTCAGGCAAGGCACCTCTGCTATTCTGCTTCTGTCTTTGTGCCCAAGGAAATAGCCATGACAAAATGCAATCTCTGCAAGGAAATATTCCCATCATGGACTCCAACACATCCATAGTGCTTGAACTCTTGTTCTGATTTCAAAGCAGTTCTCCTCATGATCTCAAAGTACTTTGTGAGGTCTCCTGAAAGAGTGCCCATCTCTGAGATGTGTGGGGAAGCTCTCTGTGCACTTCATGCAGGATCCCACAGCAGAGCCAAGGAGAGGTCTGCAGGAGCCTTGATTCCCAGGGCCCTCCTCACAGCACAGAGACATGTGGCAGTTGGAAACTGATGGTGAAATTGTAGAGTTAACAAGGCACATCAGGTCTTCTCACTCTTGTAGTTGGAGCTAGGAGGTTATGGCTTCACTTCACAAACTTTTATTAACCTGCAAGACTGGGATTTAGACCACCATGATCAACTCAATCAGTATTAAAAGAAATAAATTCTTCTGACCTAACAGAGCTTGAAAAACACCACAGCAAATCTGTCTTGAATGGAGAAGTACCATGTTTTGTGAGAGGGCAGTTGTGCTGGAAAAGGTAGTAAATGTTTGCTTTGCTGTGTAAAAGATTCCCATAATCTCCCAGTCCTTGTGGCTGAAACAGGTTGTGTCCTCCTTGAAATGATGAAGAGATGTGCGTGTTGGTTCCTCCTTTCCAAATGGTGCATAGTGACCATAGCAAGAAACCCCTCAGTGCTGGAGGAGACCTCTCTCTTGTGCCACTCATCACCTTCGTATCTGTGAGCTGGTATTTCCAATGTGGTTTTGTGGCAGCATATATATCTGCAAGCTCAGGAAAGGACTGTAATTAAACGATGAAATTATTCACAAGGTTGGATTCACATATCCTCTGTGGAGTTGTCTGTCCTAATCCAGGTCTCCTTGAACAAACATTTCTGAATTTACATCTCTTAAAATAGCTGCCCGTTTTCCATGGGTAGCATGAGCTCAGGCAGCAGAGTGAGTGTGCTGCAAGTTTAATACCTTCCCACTACAAAGATAACCTTCCTGGGCTCTCTCCAAACTTACTCATATCTCAGCTTTTGATGGGCCACAGACAAAAACTGTTGTTTGTGCGTTTTTCTCCAGTTTGGATGTGAATGTTTTTTGTCTTGATACCTGGCCTTTCATATACATCCTGTTGTTTGGAGGTGAATAATACAGCCAATATCCACTGCCTTTGATGTTTCCTTCATGTGCTTGGGAGCTGCAGTACCATCTTTTCTTACAGTGGCAACAGGTGTGAGTGATAAAGAGTGGATGAAAGGATCAGTAAAAATAAATAAACAGTCTTCTATGAAATATCTATGAAGTTGATGTCTAGAAAGGTCAGGGTAAAGAATGTGTTTGATCATTAAGCAGCAAGGGAATAAAGGTTCTCTAGATAAGGCTTAAAAGAGGATAGCTGATCCTTTTAAGGGAAAACTTTGTGGTAAAACAACTCCAAATGCAGAGGTGAATCTTGTTCCCATAATTCTGAATCTACTTTGGAAACCACACTGTAGCTTACATTAATGATGAGTGCTTTCTCATGCTCAGCTTAAGTGGGCAGCCTTCCAGATAGGTGACAAGTGGAAAGTCTGAACAGATGTACTCTGATGAAGAATGTGGAGGAGGATGAGGATGAACAACCTGTTGCCCATGGCCAGTCATGGGGAACTCTACGCTCTTGTCTTTGTAGAGCCATCACGCAGTTCAGATTATAGCTGCAGGAGGTGATGTACAGGATTGCCTTCCTGATGAAGAAGAGGGTGGACAGTGAATGTAGTGGTTCATGTGTGAACAAACATTGCTTATAAATGCAGAAGAGTCTCAGGAGACAAACCATACTGTAATGGCGTGTCTTGAACATAGCAGCTTTGCTGTTGGTATTTTACTTCCAAAGTGGAAAAAAAACCCTGCTGATCTGTGCTCTTCAAGGAAGTGGGTCTAAACCAAAAAGCCCAGTGCCAGCTGTGGTTCTACTGGTTGCCTATCATGTCAGGATAATATTGGCCTTTCAGGGCTGTTAAAACAGTATCAATGTACATTTAGCTTCCAGAAATGCAATTACAAGGGATAAATGATTATCCAATTTGCTGAGATGTTTCAGTGAGTTCATTGGATTGTAGCTTCAGTATTAGCCATGTATTAAGCAGAGGACTCTGCACAATTTTCAGTGCCATTAGGTTGGTTTCCAGTGGGTGCAGGTACACAGAATGAGATGTATACAATTAGGTAGGGTAGGAGGGCACGTGTCCTTGCAACTTATCACTTGCATGTCTTGGCCATGGTGTTGACTTTCAGTAGAGGAAGGTTGGTTTTTTTTTTTTTTTTTTTCTTTGGAAGTTGCAAGAAATATGACAAAAAATGTTGTTTGGGAATGAAGTATGTCTGAAGTTAAGCCAGCCACAATGCTTTCATGCCCTGTGACCTTCCAGGGTGTACTGGGCACCCTGGGGTGCACATTGCAGAATGAATTATCATGTTTGGGGCCACTTCTGCAGGATTTGTCACTACTTTCTGTGTTCTAACAGATTCACCTGTCAAAAAGTAACTCATGGCTGGTTGTGGGGTTGTTTCTTTTCTTCTTTCCTCCTTTATCCCTGCCTCCTTTCCCTCTTTTCCCAATGTGGACTGCAGGTGTGGGCTGCTGCAAGTGGGAGACAGAGTCCTTTCTATCAATGGCATTGCAACTGAGGACGGGACTATGGAGGAAGCTAATCAGCTTCTGCGGGATGCTGCGCTGACGAACAAAGTGGTGCTCGAAATTGAATTTGATGTTGCAGGTAATTGCAAAGGACTTGCTGCTCCTCGGCACCTGCTGGACTCTACCAGTGCTTTTGCTAACCTGTAGGAGGGATTGTGCTTACAAAAATATGTGAGGTTTTTGCTAGATTGAAGAGACTGAGAGGACCCTTTGAGGGCCTTTCCCATTTTCTGTTCTCTAATGTGCACTGAAGTGAAGAGTCCTTCCTCTCATCCTTCCATAAATGCCTTCTTCTCACAACTTGGCTGAGAGAATCATAGTGAGTAGATGAAGAGGCCACTTACTCTTTAAGCATTCAACCGTTAATATGAATATTTGTACTAATCTATGGCCTTGAAGCAAGAAGGGAGCTGAAGCTATTGGCTGAAGTGTGCAGCCTTGTATTAAAAGAAAAAGGTTTTTTTCATTTTGCATTGACAAAGATGCCACAGATTTGAAGTACAGCATGATATGAGCAATTCACTTGATGTTCAGGGCATGTGTTTTTAATGAGAATCCAGATTTTAACCTGAAGTCCTCAGGCCATCAGATAACAACCTTATTTGAACCTATAAAGCTGAGTTTGATGGGCTTGTTTTTTCTTCTTTCCAAAGAAACCATCCATGCCACTGAAAACTCTTTTCTCCTATTCTCTTTTTGTCTGTTTCTGGTTTTATAGAGTCTGTCATACCCAGCAGCGGCACTTTCCACGTTAAATTGCCCAAGAAAAGAGGTGTAGAGCTTGGAATTACAATCAGCTGTAAGTATTGCTCAGCCTTGCACTAGCAGTTGCAAGAGCCACTGCTTTCCAACATGGCACATCAGAGAGGCCCAGCAGAGAGCAAAAAGATTATGTGGGGTTTTCTGGTAGCACTCACAGCATTTTCAGTTTGTTCCAAATTGAATTGGATGTGTGGCTTTTGCCTCCAAAAGCTGGTAACTGCAAAAGAAAAAGCAGCTGCTGAAGGGTCAGGGCAAAGGATGCGTCTCTGAGGGGCCGCTCAGCAGTTGTTGTGTGCCACAGACTAATATTATGCTATATTATTAGTAATATTATTTTTATTTCCAGGCCTTGGTGGGCTCAAGAGAACAAGGCATCCACCTTTTTCTTTCTTCTCTTCTCAGTTAATTATCTTTGTTTCTGTTTTGGAGTCTATTCTAATTTAAAGACCTTTTGGTTTCTCTGAGGAGGATACTGTAAGGAGATGCCATAGGCAGATCCATCCATTCTGGATATTAGGAAAAACTCTGAAAGAGTGGTGAAGGCACTGGCACAGGGAGGTGGTTCAGTCACTGTCCCTGGAGGTATTCAAGAGATGTGTAAAGTGGCGCTGAGGATCATGCTAGTGGGCAATGTTGTTGGTAGGTAGACAGTTGGACTGGATGATCCTAGCAGTCTTTTCCAACTTCAGTGATTCTATGATTCTATCTCAAATTTCGGGTATGCTGAAATCTTCTTATGACTTGCACCAGTAATTTTTCCCATATGCATATGTGAATGGTGTTGTATCACTCATCCTTCTTTCACTGCTGGGTAACCTGAGTTGAATCATCTTAAATTGGCCATGCCCGGAGGCAGCCACCGTATCTCAGATGAGACAAAGCAGCTTGTGACAGTACGGTAATGGGAGCTTATGTTTCAGCCCTCAGGAGCACAGACTTGGCTGTCACTGGGGAATGGAGTCACAGAATCAGAAGAGTCATTTGAGTTGGAAGGAACCCTGGTCTAACCCCCCTGCAATGCACAGGGACACCAGCAGCTCCATCAGGTGCTGAGAGCCCATCCAGCCTGACCTTGTGTGTCTCCAGAGGCAGGGTGTCCACCACCTCTCTGAGTTGCTAACAACACTTTAATAGTAAGCTTCATTAAAGTAGATAAGCTATTTGCAATTACTTCTTGGCATTTGCAGCATTAGTTGCTGAGTTAATTGGAGATGTTGTGGTCTAAGTGGGTTGTTTCCCAGAATAGACATCTACATCTACAGGGTGATTACTTTGTCATTTCCTCTCCCGGTTTCCCCATTTTGTGCCACGTGAATACTCACAACATGTAATGTTTGGCTTGCTGGTATTTACTGTTTGAAGACACCAGAGTGCTTTCCAAAAGCAGTGGGGTGTCCATAATGACTGTCACTGTAGGCAGAGTGGGACCCAGTGGGGCAGAGCTCATGCTGCATTCCCCACCTTCTGTATGGGCATTGCAGTGTCAGGTAGAAACCTAGGATGATGGAACTGTTAGTAAGGATCTGCTGGCCTGAGTATGGCGAGGATTTCACCCCTATTAAGCTTCAAAGTTTAGATTTGATTTGGGACCGGAGAGCAAAATGAACCTGGAGGTTGCTAGCAAGAATATGAGCTTTTATTTGTGGAGTCTCACTTAAATGTGCATTTACACTTCAAACATATTTTTATGTTGAAAATATTTTCGTTTGAAATGTGTTTAAAAAATTGATTTCACGCTCTTTTTGGAAATCACTGCTAAATAAAAAAGACAGCAACCCCTGTGTTTTAAATAGTTAGATGCCCACTGTCAGTGATTAAGCTGAATGATGGAATAGATCTGATCTTCTTGATTGTTGAACGTGTTTACAGGACATTCATTAAGTAATGAAAACATGAAAACCTAAGATTATACTTCATTGTTTGCTGAGTCAAAGCTAAAATTGTATCGGAGCAAGAGATAGCAGAAAATGCAGGAGCAAGGATGAAAGTTGAATCCTAATTCTGCTTTCATGAATTAGTCCCCATAAACCTATTTCCACAAGAACCCTAGCGAATTATATCATCATTTTGTCACTCTGCATCTGACCAGGCAGATAAATATGCCTGTGTCAAACGTCAGAATGAAAGCAAGCAGATGTATGGTAAATACCTCCTGCAGAGACATGATGTGCATGCAGGAGTGTGATGCAAGCAGCGAGAGAGGAGAGGTAAAAATAACCCATCTCTGTTTTGCTCAGTTCCTCCAAGTTGTGCTGATTTGAATGTTTGTTGAGATCTAGAAAGAGCTTTTATAGCTTCTTTCTATCAAAGAAAGGCATATAGCTACTGCTTAAAGTGGAAACGAGCAGATTAACTAGGTGACAAACCGGTTGGATCAGTACAAGACCCCCTGCACAGATTTGGATTTGTTCTAAAATGTCATAGTATATGGCACGCTGTAAATGAAATATCACAGAATCATTTGTGATGGAATGGACCCTTAAAGGTCATCCAGTCCAACTCCTCTGCGATGAATAGGGAATCGTATGAAACATGAGCTGTTTTTGTTGAGTTTTACCTCTTGGCTTCAGCAGGCTCACTGGAGGTTAATTCCTCAGTTTGGGAAGGTTTGTGACTGCCTTGTTATGTGGGCAAGAAATGTTATGACCTCATCAGAGAAGTGCTGCAGAGATAAAACCAATCGAGTTGTTGCTGTGCTGTGACTCTCAGAGCTAATCGGGAGATGGGCTGAGCAAAGTTGGGGGAGAGCAGGGTTCTTGATGGATGCGCCGAAAAAAATCATATAAAGCAGCTAGAAGAATCATAAATCTGCTGGAAAGCCTCATAAAAGGGCTGGAAACCCAAGAGGTTTGTGTATGAGGAGGGCAGATTCTGCTGGTTTTGCTGTGGGTCTACAGAGAGGGTCTGGGCTTGCTCCTGGCTGGGGGACGTGTGGGTGGTGATGCTCAGTTGTTTGTAGAGACCTCTGAGGTGCTCTGAGTGGTGGGGATGCAAAGAAGTGCCGAGTGAGGTTTCTGACACAATGGTGTGAAGATTTGGCTCTCATTAGCCTGAACCGTGCGACTCCATTAGCAGAACACACGGCACGCAGTGCTCTGATCTTTCTGGCTGCATTCAGTTCTAGTGACACAGTTATGCCTTTGTAGATTTTTTTCTGTAAATCTCTCACAAATTTAAATCCCCAGCAGCGAGAAGCGAATAGCCGTGTTTTCTTGTGCATCCAACACCTGACCTCTTAAAGTTAGATATCCACTTGCTGTTAGCCTCTGGAAAATGGTAGTTGATTCCACAAAAGATAGCTTTTCTGTTCTCCTCCTTTTGTCTGCTCGTTCACCCCCTCCAAAGGCCAAGTGTGAAATTCACTGCAGGGCATAGGGGTGTTGGGGCTGCTTAAACAGGCACTGAAATTACCTGTCGTGTCGGCTGTACATTAATGCTTTATATAGCATGTTTATCAAATTACCTTTATATATCTTTACAAATCAATTCCTGTGCCCTTTCTGGGAAGTACTGCAGATAAGGAGTAAGCACTATATCTGCTTGTGGATGATAAAACCGGAATTTGGATAGGCAGATAACTTTGATTAAGTCTCTTAAGCGGTGTAATCACTGTCCTAGTGAGAAGATGGATCTGTGAGCTGACCCAGTCCAGCTCTACTGGCACTGGATTAGCCTGGGACTTGCCTGGCAGTGTGTCCATGAGCAGCACTGTGTCCCCACAGCCTCACCGACATCACAACCACAGATTTGCAACTGATTTGCTGTGATGCTTTTACCAAAGTGAGGTATTCTGTCCAGGCTTTGCTACCTGAAGGGTTTGAAAGGATATAGATCTGTGGTGGTGTAAGCGTCCTGCTGGTGGCACTGATAATTTGCCCAGCTGCTGCTAAAACTAATGAAGGGTAGAGCAAAAAGTTGGGTCCTGGGGACTGGATTGTCACTGCTGCTTTTTGTAATCAATTCTGATTTGCTTTTATCCTTTTCTCATTCCTTAGCTATTCTGAGATTATTGGGTTTCAGATTTTGTTTGTTTTTCCCCTTTATAAGAGTTTGCTTTCTTAAATGTATTTTTTGGCGTTATTACAATTTCTTTAATTACATGTTGGCAGAGTGCTGCCTCAGCTTGATCAATAACGAAGGGCATTTATAACCGGTTGAAGCGCTGATGCGTGTGAGATATGTGCTTGTGCTCCTTGGAGGGGAATAATTTACCAATGCAAGTCATTATGCATTCTATTAAAAACACAGAACGGACATGTGTTTCTGGCCTTGTCATCCATCAGAGAGTAAATGCCGAGCGAGCCAGAATCCCAGCAGAGGTGGCGAGAGACTGAAAGCAATTTATAAAAAGTAAATAACAGTATTGATCAGTTCACCTTTTTATCACTGCCCTGTCAGCACCGCCAAGCAGTGTTTCATGGTGAGTTTCTCCCCCACCCCACGTTTCTGCCTTCACCAACTGTTGATTTATGAAGCTTTCTCTGGGTCACTGGGGGAGATTTCAACTATCTTCTGTACTGGCAAACCCACCAAAACCACAAATCCATCTGAAAAAGAGCTTACTTGCACACCAAGTGGTTTGTCCTGGCAGGTGGGGGCTACAACCAGACCTCCTGAGGAGATGCTGTGAGTATTTACACGACAGCTTCTGTCTCTGTTGTGATGTCTCTGTTTCCCCTCTTTCCTTGTCTGCCATCTCCCCTTTTGGATGGGAAAACAAGGCCTGGAGGCAAGGCTGGATGTTCACGGGGAAGGGCACTGGGATGCCAAAGGGGAATGTTAGTAACTACTGTATTTAAATTGAACAGGGAGTGACAGTTCAGTGCTTTGAGATTTCTCTCTCTTTGAATCCTATGCCTCTACAGAGAATGGTTGTTCATTAAGCCCCTTTAACTTACCCGTCAGCCTCATGGGTGCTGACTAATAGTGATGTAAATAGTAAAGCCTTCCAATATCATACTAGGTGACTAAGTGGTTATTTAACACAGACGACAACCCGTGTGTTCAAGTACAGTTTGGATACTCTGATGGTAGGGAGAGGGATATGCCATTGTGCTTTCTCCTGTTCCATTTAACAGGTCTGAAGGAAATCTGTTTGTCTGTGTCAGGTGCAGAGGTGGCTGTCCCCAGCCCTCTGCCAGCACTGTGGTTCTCTCTAACCCCCTTCTGTCACACAGCCTCTGCTTTGAATCTAATAAACAAACCTCACGGTGAAAAGCACTTCTGGAAATCTGGATGTTTTGACAGAACCAGGCTAGGCCGCGATTAAGCACGCAGTGCCGCGTGCTGGGCTCAGTACCTGCAAGCTGCCGAGTCTCCATCACTGCCACTCCTACCGCTGCCCAGGGCACCTCTCTCAGCCCCAAAGACACATCCTGTGTTGAACAGGAGAACAGAAGTAGTGATAGCAGCATGTTTCTATGCACTGTTTGCCCGTGGCGAGCGACTTTCTTAGGCAGAGCAGGTCTTTCTGCATTGATTTTTAGCCACGTCAGCCTTCGCACCTCTTGACATACATTGGTGAATGAGTTGGTTGGGCCGTGCATTGAATACAGATTGAATACAGCCATGAGCCCTTGGTGAACCTCCGCAATCCATCCGTTTCTCTTTGATCCACAGCTGCAAGCTGCATGTGAGTTTTTAGATCAGAACTGCCTGGCACTGTGTGCCAATAAGGCGTGGGGAGAATAATTCTTCCAGGCGCCGTATCATTCAGCAGTCTCATTGCCATGACTTGTATGAAATCAGTAACGGTCTGCTCTGACCCGACTTTTACACTCAGCTGTGTTGCAGCTGAGGTTGGCAGTCGTTTCACACTGTTTGGTGCAGAAGGTTTGGTTACATATGGGAGAGGGTATCCTTAAAGGTGATGGGCACAGCACGTATGTTTTTATATCTTACAAATGAATGTAAATAGAAAAATCCAGAGCAGAGATGTTGGCAAGTAAAAGCGCTTATTCCTTTATGTCTGACTTTCTAGGGCACCCTCTCGCTCCCGCTCAGGCAGGTGGATCTCTGTGATTGATGCCACGTACCTTGCAGATATTTTAATCTCTGACCTACACCCGATACGTTCAGATGCTGTGAGGTTTCTTCCTTCCCACGCAGTTTTTGCTGAGAAGCTCCATCAGCCTTAAACGATATGGTGCAGTTCCTGTAGCGTGGCTGGAGGGAGTGACAGAGAGTGGGAACTGTGCTCTTGGTGTATGTTTGTTATATGGATAGCAGAGGGGTCAGGAGGGAGTCAAGTCATAAATCTCTGCAGGTCCTGCAGGCAAATTGGAAAATGCAAATGTTCCCAGAGATGCGTGCTTGCATCTCTCATGGGCTGAAAATGTCCACAGTCTGGTGGGGGGACAGGAGGATTAGAGACCCCTCCTCCACCTGAGAGCAGTTTGGAGTTCTCTGGTTGAATGACAAAGTGATCTGGGTAGCTGAACCTCATGGAAAACATTTTTCTTTTTTACTGGATTGTTTTTCACCTTGAGAATTTCCCATCCTCTTTTACTTCAACATCAGAGGAGGGCAGCCAACAAGAATTTGCAGGGATTTACTTCTTTTTTTTTCTCCTGGTTGTGGCTTCCAGAAAGTCAAGTGTGAAGCACCGTTTTGTTAGAGGACGTTTCCTTTCCTCCCTACTTCTTTTCCCATCTTAGATGGCAGGCTAAGTTTTGCTCCTGTTTGTCTCTTGCAGCTGCGAGCAGAAAGCCTGGGGAGCCTTTGATCATCTCTGACATCAAGAAGGGGAGTGTAGCACATAGGTGAGTGCACAAACTTCCACCTGCCAAACCCATGGCAAAATATCCAGTCCAGTAACAAGAGGTTAGGTAGAAAGTTTCCCATGTGACATAGCACTAAGGTATGGATTTTGCCATTATCCAAGCATATGCTAGCCCTAGAAGTCTCTCTTTGACCACAGTAGGGTTTGGAATGAAAACTCTTTTTATTGAAGCAAGTAGAGTTAAGCTAATAGAGAGAATGGCTGGGGCACTGATTCAGAGGTCTGCTGAAGATGGATGTTTAACATCTATGAGCATGTGCCATGTCTCCTCAGGTAGTTTGCTATGTTTCAGCTGCTGCCTGGATAAACTGAGTGAGTGAACTGTGGGCACTGGTGGAGATCTGTGCCAATAACTCAGCCTTTTTTGGCTGCTCCTCTGATCCCAGCACCTCCTAGCAAGGCTTTCGGGGGAATTTAGTGCTCATGAAGGGCTCTGTTTTATAAGTGAACTCACTTGTGAGTTTTCAGAAAAGGCAGAATATCTGTCAGTTAAAGATCACACATTTTTGAGTGCTGTAGGTTACCCAGACTATATATCCATATAGGTGAGAGTGTTAAGCTGATGTGCCTGTCTTGTTCTGTGCTGATGCATGCTCTATGTGAACTTCCTCTCTGTACATTATAATTGCCTCAGACCCTGCTTGTACTTGTTTACCAGAAAAGACCAAAGAGGGGGGGGGAAAAAAAGCTAATATTGTCATCACTAGTGCAGAACTGAATGCACTGCAGGATCTGAAAGACAAATACAAATGTACTTCTGTTTTCTTTTCCTTTCCACATAGAACTGGCACCTTGGAGCCGGGAGACAAGCTGTTAGCCATTGATAACATCCGACTCGACAATTGCTCAATGGAGGATGCTGTGCAGATTTTAAGGCAATGTGAAGACCTGGTCAAATTGAAGATTAGGAAGGATGAAGATAACTCTGGTACAGAAATCCTGATGCAAACTGGTGCCTGTCCACTTTAATGACATTTCCCAGTAGGTAGTGCAGACTAACAAAGATAAGGGCTGCTGCCTCTCCAGTCACCACTTTCCAATTGATTATAGTCTATTTTTGTTATTCTGCCCTTAAATGGAGTTTGGAAGGTTAAAATCCTGTTTGGAATGAGCACAGCTGAAGACTGAAAGCTTGTGCTTCTAAATGCTACAAGTCTTTCCTATGACCTTTTTGATATGGCAAAATAAAAAACTCTGCATTGCTGTTTTCTCTTTCAGATGAGCAGGAGACAACCGGTGCTATAATCTACACGGTGGAACTGAAGCGATACGGTGGTCCCTTGGGAATAACCATCTCTGGGACCGAGGAACCCTTTGATCCCATTGTCATTTCAGGCCTGACAAAAAGAGGGCTGGCAGAAAGGTGAGGTTTGGAGGTCAGAAGGGTCAAATCAGTGTGGGAAGGGATTTTGATGTTTGCAAAGCTTTGAGGCCAGGGTGATGCTGCCCATCTGGCTTTTCAGACCCATGTGCTTGATGTGTAGGGTGGCCAGGACTGTGCCATTGGGGGGCAGTGAGAGAGGTTTTAGGCAGGGCACTACTGGTAGAATCAGAGCCAGTGTGTTGGTTGAACACAGCAGCTGAAAGAATGTATTTATCTGCTTCTTTTCCACTGAGATGTTTCTTAGTCTGTGATCTTCTATGCCACAGCTTGCATTGGGAGAGTGCCCACCTGCCCTGAAAAGCATTGTATCCATCTAGTCAATGCTCACGTGCTGCTAAACTGCAGCTGATAGCCATGGCAGTGGTGTGGCCTACAGAAACCACAGATCTTGGGGCTCTTCTGGTCCTTGCTGGTTGCTTAGTGTGTTCTGTATGAAAGAATCTCAGTGTAGGGCTGCTCAGAGCAGCAGACATTTATACTGCATAAAGGTAGTTGCAGATTTACCTTCAGAAGCCAGGGAGGTTGTCTCTGTGTGTGCCTGGGTCTGAATATATATGCATGCGTGGGATTTAAAAGATCAGGACACTGCTGAGAATATAAGGTGGAACTGAGTCATACACTGTATCTTAATTACTCTGTCTGTATGGTGCTATGACTTGTAAGAGATGACTCCAGCAGTCCTGACTCATGCTTCTCATGGGGTTGCTTTCCTCTGTGCTGCAAAAAACCTCTAAACAAATAGATGTGAAATGCTGGACCTTGTGGAAGTTGGCCTTCTGTTCTGGTGTTTTGGTTCTTTCTGCTTGAAGACCAAGCTTCTTCTGAGCTGAACTATAATACGTTTTGGTGCACCTTTCTGTCTCAGGTTCCTCAAGCTCCTAGTACACATAGTGCTGCTCATTTCCATTGCTTTCCTTTGGTACAGAACACCAAGAAAGAAGTAAGGAAAAGGGATGCAATTGGCTTTCTCTTTGGGGATTTTGTATCAGTGCCCACCACCAGGATGCAGTCTTTTTTCCCTAGGGAACACTACTCATGCAGTATCTGAGGTTTGTCTACATAGCAGTGCTGCACTGTACTGGTAGCACAAGAGATGTTCAGGACATGAAACTCAAATGCTGCCAGGCAATGGAAGCACTTCTGTACCTTTGTTGCTCCCAGTTCCCTTTGCAGTGCTGTAGCTGTTCTTCCTTCAAACTCAGATGCGCATCAGTGACTGCTCTGCAGAGAAACGTAGCACAGGCGAGTGCTGCGGTGCTACTGAATTTTGATCAGGAACTGGCACACAGCAAGGAATGAAAAGCCTTTTGAGGAGAGCAACAGAGCTGTTCGGCACTGTAGCAGGCTGACAAATGGTGGTGCCTGTGCCGAGGAGCAGTGTGTGGATGGAGTGGCATGGGGATTTCTCCTGGTAACCTTGGCTCCTTGCAGGGAGGGAGAAGAGTGCTGGGATGAAGCCTGCCTGCAGAAAGGTGCATATTCTGCTGAGATGGTGCGCATTTTTCTCCTGGGATTGACAGAAAGGATTGGCTCAGCCTTCTCAAGGGAAGAGGGATGCTCCTAGTTTTATCCTGGTTTGTCCCTTTCCTACCAACTGTGCCCAGCTCCATGCCAGAGGCACTCTTAGCTGGGCTCTGAAGGGTGTGATGGGTTTCTGAAGGATAGGAGTTAAAGCTGTGCCTGCCTTTTGTTGGAGCACAGCATGTGTTTCAGCAGCGCTGGGGTGGACCGGATCCTGGCATCTGGTAATGGGGACGGGGCTGCCATTCCTGGAGAGGCACAGGGGGATAATCTGCACTGCAGCTCTGTGCTGGGGAAGGCAGGGTGTCCTCTAGGACCTGTCACATGTCTGTCACAGTAGTGACAAGCTGTCTTAGCTGAAAGGCTTCAGATGCAGATGACTTGGATTTTATCTTGACCTTCAGCATTTTTCTCCTTGTACGTGTCCCATCCTATGGAAACCTAGAAAGGCAGCACGGGCTGTTGGGTTGATGTCAAGTGATGGCTTCTCTGTTTCCCTTTCTTCAGTGCCTGTGGGTGACTTTGCCCTTGGCCATGGGACTTGTTTCCTTCCTATGTGGGGAAGGGATCAATACTGTTCCTTTCCGGTTGAGGTTTAATAGTTCTCCAAGAGTGATTTTCAGTGGTGATTGATATCTTAAAGGATTTCAAGAGCTTGGCAGTCTCCTCTGGCACCACCTGGTCAAACAGACATAGGAGGCTGCAGGAGAGTTTTGTCTAGTTGTACTTAGCACCAGCATGTGTTGGCAAATGGGAGAAGGGATGTGGACTCTGCCCATGCTCCAGGTAAATCCCTGCCACCTGCATGCAGTGGACAGTGGAGGGGATTGAATTACTTTTTCCCCCTTGATATGACATCTCTTTGATATTTTCTGTGTTTTCCTGCAGAGCAGTAGTGCTGTCCAGGGTCTGGCAGTGGGGAGAAGTGTTCATGAGAGGAGAGATCAGCCCTGGCTCAGCGCTCTGGCAGAACCTCAAATCAAAGGCACTGCAGCCAGGAAGGGTCGCATTAAAGTGCTAACAGTTCAGCTTGGTTTGTTTTTGACTATGTTAGATGAAACTACAAATACTCTGTTTGCAGTGTGATCTATACTTTGAATACTTTAGTTTTTCCTGAGGGCTTTTTTGGGCTGATTAGGATGGGACAATACGGACATCTAGTGGCTGTGCAGGACCATTATGACAGACTGCATACCTCAGCAGCAGCAGAGCGAGCACTCCTGCCTGGTTGTTGTGTAGTTTCCTGGTTTAATTTGTGTGCTGTGAAATCACAGAAGCATGGAATGATTAAGGTTTGAAAAGACCTCCAAGATCATCTAGTCCAACCATCCACCTACCATCAATATTCCCCACTAAACCACATCCAAGATGTTTTGTAGTAGATATTTCGCAGCAGCATGCCTCTGAAGTTCCACGTTAAGGGGAAACACAAGGAGTTGTTTTGCCTGCTGTTTTGACAGTGTATCAGATCCCATTTCTGCAGGAGCAGGAGTCCAATTTGGACTGGATACAGCCTTGGAAAGAAGCACGTTGCTGTGGGCAAAAAGATATGACTGTCCAGATTTGCATCTCCTGGCTTGATCACGCAAGGTCTCTGATAGCTGAACATTGCAGCAGTGCTGGAGGAGAGGATTGCTGCTCTTGCGTGCCAACATTAGGGAACATCGGAGGGAACTTAAAAGATATCATAAATTGATTTGCAACTCGCTCAGCTCATCTGTGCCCACACAGTCTGTGTGTGCTAGGCTGGGTCTTTTGTTGGTTTGTTAGTTTAGCTTTGTCTTCTGTCCATCCTCTGAAATCTGCTCATCAGTTCCACCTGTAGACAGTGCTCCACTGGCAATGCATGTACACCCCCCCATGACTTCAAAGAGTTTAAAATGTAGTCTGGTTTGATGTCCAGCTCCCAAGAGTCCTAGAAACTGAAGTGGGCATACGTTCATGTACCTGTATGTACGTACATACAGGCAAAAGCTGGTGTAAGACAAATTCTCGGTAGTGTTGATGAGCAGGAGTATTCAGTATGCCAAGAGGAAACCCAGACATGTTTAAAGTGTTGAGAGCTAACTTGCTATTGCTCGAAGCAGCAGCTTAATGGCCTGAGGAGGGTTGCCTCTATGAAGTCCCTAACAGCACCTCTCCTCTCCAGAACCGGAGCCATCCACATCGGTGACCGAATACTTGCAATCAATAATGTGAGCCTCAAGGGCAAGCCACTGAGTGAAGCAATCCACCTGCTGCAGATGGCAGGGGAGACGGTAACGCTGAAGATCAAGAAACAGATGGAGAGTAAGCTGGGGAGCCTGTTTTGGGGTGGGAGTCTGCAAGAGACCTTACACACAGTAGGGTCTTTTCAAGAAACCCCATCTCATTCTCTGAAGCCAAGTGTCTTGATCCTTGCTATGAAATACTCTTTTTTCCACTTCTGAGACTTAGAACTGTCACAGTCACTTGCTGAATTAATTGACATGCAAGTGCCAGTTGGAGACTCATTAATCGTTCTGAGAATTGAAGCAGGTGTAATTGAAATTTCAAGGTAATTGCCAGTTAATCATGATGAGCAATCTTCTGAATAGTTGGAAAATAGGGACTTCTAGAATACTGGCCTTCGTTTGGTAAAATAATCTGTCCTCATTGACAGATGCAGGCTATCAGTGAGCATTTTTATCCCAGCTAAGTTCTATGAGTTGGAGATCCAGGGTGTGGATGACTAACAGGATATTTAATCAATGGGGACTTTATAATATTCAGTACAAGAATGCTTGTGCTGAGAAACCATTCCCTGTATAGCTTTTACCTGAAAGGGAACTTGGTCTAATGATAATAAGGGCCTATTATTACTAAAATAATGAAAGGAAAGGTCTGAGCTTCATCATCCCCATTCAGCTTTCCATTTTCTCATCAGTAATCAGAGGAAAATTCAGCCTCAAAGTACAAAGCCCAGGAATTCCACTGTTGTCTTGAGACTGTGTGGGAGGCTCTTTGGATGGTGATCAGCCCTTAATTGGTACATGTAGTCTTGATGAGGGGTTACAAATTCAGCTCCATAGTTTGGTACCAAGTTGTGTTGTTGTGGGAATCTCACTGAAACTTTGAGAAATGGAAACTGCTTGGAATAGAAAGTTTGGCTCAGGCCTTTCTCAGTTACCTTTGAAGAGCTAAAGAGGGTTCTTCAATAGCCTTGGAGTACCTGAGCTTGCTTACTTAAGTCTTTCCCTGGGTCTTTTTCCTTGTGCCTTCTAAAGTGTCTTATTCTGGTTTCAGAATCCTATCCCAAGAAGTCTGGGAGTATAAATGAAGTGAGTGACCCCGAAGACGAACTGACGGACTCCCAGAAAACAAGCAAGCTGTCTGAGATGTACTCTACCACTATTCCTAGTGTAGACAGTGCTATGGAGTCCTGGGATGGCTCCGGCATTGATGCTGGGTATGGAAGCCAAGGTAAGATGACTTTTCTTACGGGTCTGTGAGTCAAGGCAAAGACAGATAGAGCTTCCAAACCTGTCTGGAGACTGAATGTAAGCTAGAGGCCATGGTCTGACCATGCTAGCATGGCTTCTCCCTTTCAGCAAGGAACAAAATGTATTTTAAAATGCATTCATGTGGTGCTCTAAGTTGAAATATCCATTTTAGGTTTTTATTGGCACTATTTCTTCTGGCTTACATAGATAGCATCATAACATTCACAGCAGTTTCAAAACCATTGAAACGTTTTACAATTCACACAATCAGATAAGTATTTGCTGTCCATATGTCTTACAAAGTATTTGGCCTGTAGCTCACTTTTAGTTCCCCAGAGAGGCCATGTAGACTGTATTAATCCTCTTCAGGATGTTTTAAAATCCACAAGAATGTCTTGTGACTAGAAGCTCTCACTTAACAAAATAATTAAGGTAATACTACGAGACAGCATCTCTGACTCCCCCGTGAGTGATCAGATGTCTTGGAGGCCAGATCTATTCAGCTGTGGTTTCTGGCGGACATATGGAATTGGGATGGAGGATGCTCCATCATGGGAGTAAGTTTTCACTTGGAGGAATGCACTAGAGAACAGTCCAGTTCAGATTTAGTGATGTAAGCTTGTATTAGCCTGTGTTGAAGGAAAATAAAACCCTAAAGCACCTCTGCAAAACGCTGCTCAGGTTTGAGCAGGGAGCTGTGCTGGGCTTGGCAGGAACGTACCACCAGGTGGCTCTGAATCCCAGGGATCCAGCCCTTGTTTCCTTAAGGAGGAGGTGAAAGTGCTGGCACTCAAGGGCCAGCTCTGTGCATACATCCCTGTGCCCAGTCCGCTGCAGGGCTGCACCCAGGGACCTTGTTCCCATGCTGTAGCAAGCAGCAAATGCTCCTGCCTGGTATAAAACATTGGCCAGCATTTTGCTCTCTCCAGAGCAGTTTAACCTTTAAAAACACACAGAGGAAACTCTCAGCTAAATGAAGTAACAGGCTTTGGCATTTTGAAAGGAAGTTCTGGCAATGTCTTCGGGAATTTCCAGTGCTCTTAGCCATGCGGGAGGTCAAGTCTCCCTTAATTATGTGTTTCTTGTTACCTCTTCCTGTTCGCTTGGCACAGGGGGCGATGGAAGTGAACGATGTTTCTTGGAAAGGCTGTGGGGATTTCTCTGAAGTGTTCAATGGGCAGGAGGAGGTGGACAGGGGACTTGGGAGATTTATTTCCATGGCAGCTGGCACCAACATTGCTGAGGAATGCTCTGTTTTGAAGGGTTTCTGTCCAGACAGCTCCTCGTGAGACCTGGAAATCTTGTGACTTGGTAGGGTTGGTTTTGCATCTCTGGAACAAGACATCCCACAGTATGGGAAAGTCCTTGGGGGCAAACTTAGCTAAACTTGTCCGATTTCCTCTTAATGGACTCATTTGATCCTGAGAAGTTGTTTTGGTTAGAAGAACAAAATATGGGAAGAATATCTCCTTTTGAAAGACTGAAGTGAAAGCAGTATGTAACCTAAATTGCTTCAAGTTTGGGGTTTGGGGATGGAAGCTCTCCTGGCATTTACTCCTCTTGGGTTTTCTAACCAGATATTACCTCTTTTTTCCCCCCACCTCTTGGCTTGCCTAGGTACGTACATACCTCAGGCTGCAGGCATTGCCCTTCATCCGCATGAATGGAGACACAGCAGGCAAAAGAGCAGCACCCCTCCTACGGACCCCAGGAAAAGTTACCCCTTCATGGATGGGAGCTTCAGTGAAGATGACTGGGACAAGCCCAGCAGGTGCGGAGGGGTGGGAGGAGGTAGGGAGGCCCTTCTGCAGATGTGGGGATGAGAGGGCACTGATTGTGATGGAGTGGGTTAGCCAGAGGTCAGCAGTGCCCCATTGTGGCATCAGGCATCTGTGGGGTGGGTGCTGGAGTAGTGATCTGCTCTATCAAACGACCTCCACAGAGATGCTCTATGGCATCTCTGCCACGGCCTTGGCACTTATGTCTGGAATTAGAATAGTCTCAGCTGCATGGACCATGTTCTTACCACGTCTTATACCATGTAAAGGCTGCAGTACTTTCATAGTTCAGGTGTTACAAATGGGCATGGCAAGAGCTGTTCCCTGTTGCGTTGGCTAAAGACTTCTGAATGAGGATGTAGCTTCTCAAAAGCTTGATGCCACAAAGCCAAAAAGGCCAACAGAAGCTCTTGGAGGACTAGTATGAGGTTGTATATCTGTGATAAAATCTCCTAAAGATGTGGCTGGATGTCTCTCTTCACCACACTTTGGCCCTTCCAACACACAGACAAAACCACGCTGCATGAATGTAGCTGAGTTAACCCCACAGCTCAGCCAGAGTGGAAGAAATCCCACAACACCTCCCAGGCCCACAGAGCAGATTGCAGCTGCCCCCTCTTTTGGGGTGAAAATCCTGCTGAATCTGCCCCGGCCCCTCTCTGAATCATGCACAGTGGAAAAGCCCTGTTGCCCCGTAACTTAACCCCCCCCTTCACATCCTTCAGAGTCCCCATAGTTGTGTGTGTCGTGTTGTTGCTGTCAGTTCTTTTCTTTTCTAATTATTTTCCCTTAATTTTTGTTTGTCCAGACAAAACCCTTAGAACATCTCATGGCCATTTCCACCTATTTAAAGATGATCAAGCTGGCAGGAAGGCTGGCAGTGGCTGAGACTTTGTTCTTGTTTTGCCTCTCAGCGAGAGCCGGCTCACAGAGGTCGCTGCTCTCTTGTGGCCTTCCTTGCCACTGGCAGCTGAAGTTAGCAAATCTGAGCCCTCGAAACCCCGTGTGTCCCTAAAGAGGGCTCTGAGCCCTGATGTCAAAGTGCAAGTGAAACAGTTCGTGCTGCCGAGCCCTTTTCGTAAGGAAGAAAAACAAAACCTCTCTAACCCTGGCTGCCCTTAGCCTGGAAAAACCTGCTGACCCAGTGGTGTGAGGGCTGATTCCTGGGTGTTTGCTGTATCTGAGAGGCAAGAAATCCGTAACTGGAAGGGACTTTTGCCTCTTCGGAAACCTGGAGCAGAGGAAGGAAATGAGTAAGGGAAAAGAATTGAAAACTCCTTCTCAGGGGGGAATTTTGGTTTGTTTTTATGAAGTCTTGCTGGGTGTTTTTTTGACCTCTCTGCCTGGTGTTAAAAGCTGCTGCTTTAAAAGTGGTAGGGGGTGAATTTAAAATAGAAGCCATGTTAGATGGCTTTAAAATAAGCCATGCCAGACACCACTCTCCAGGCAGGCCACGATCCCACAAGGACCAAAAGTGTGCATGTTTGAGGTTATGCCTGCTATAGACTCTCCTTTAAACCAACGGATGAAAAGCAAAGCATGCGCTAAAGACTTTGCTATAATACAGATTTGGAAAAGGTGTGCTATTAATAGCCCAAAGGGTTGTTATACGTATAACTGAAGCCAACCTCTCTTTGATTTCTACTCAAGTACAATGTTTTGGCTTTGCTAAGTGGCTCTGGTGGAGAAATGTCCCCTCCCACCCGTGTCACTGATGACCACTAAGCCATGCAGGCTGCTGTCAGATGTTGCACAGGTGGATCTTTGTGCAGCTCCTAATAGGATGCATGGAAGATGCATTAAGGCTGCTGTAATGCTACCATCCTCCCATGGCACAGTGAGCGTATTGTGACCTTGTTTTAGCACCACTGAAAGTTGCTTTCAAGAGGCTTCTGTTAAAAATGAGTGCTGATGATCTGATGTTGTTCACGTTACCATGTGTTTGTACAGACTAGAGAGAGGTTGTCAGTACTCCCTTCCTCTGTAGCCAGAGAACTGGAGAGAGTCTGTACACAGCTGTTAATGACTTGTGTAGCACAGAGACCTCCTGAATGTAAAAGCTCACTTCCTTGGCCATCCGAAGGCAAATGAAACTTGGTTTGTATGGGTTATATGCTGACACTGTCAATATTGCTGGCTGTAGTGTGCATTTACTTGTCCAGCCTAGGGCAATCATTTTTATATACATCTTTGCATTATTTACTCTCATAGAGACCTAATGTATTTACCATTTTCTCACCATGTCTGTTACCCTCTGTGTTTTTCTCTCTTTTCTCAGGTGTTCTGTGTCTCAGATCTGAGCTCTATCCCATCAGCCTTTGTACTAACAGTCTCTGAGGCTCCTGGTTTACCCATAACGCATCCTTTTTTCTTTCACTTCTCTATTTCACCAAAACGTCTTCCTAAACCTACAATCTTCCTACAGGCACTTTTTAATTTACCCTTTGAACTTTGACATCACTACACCAACTTAATTCTTCCTTTGAAGGACGCTTGCCCCGTTAGTAAATGCATGGAGGTCTCGTGTTCGGACTCTTGTCTGAAAAGTTCATATTGTTTGCTTTTGTATATGAAGACTCTTCAAGTCTCTGCTTTTACTGGTGAGACACTTGCTGTAGCCTCGCGGCTTTCATCCTGCTGCAGAAGAGTGCTGACAATATTTGGTTCCTACGTTACAACAGATACCCCAACCGCCAAAATGGCCTTGAGACCACTCACGAGGATAGTTTTTGGCGTGTTTTTGGAGAAGCTCTGGAGGATTTGGAAACATGCGGCCAGTCTGAACTTTTGAGGGAGATTGAGGTAAATCACTTTCCGAATTTGTTGCTGATCTGTTCTGCTCTTGACTCGAATGCTAAGCAGTTTGCCCAGGTGTGTCGGTTGCTCACAGCACCCCTGTGCTGTTAGTGGTGTGAAGAAGGGTTCGAGTTGTGGCGTTTCAGGGATGTGCCCATGGATAACTACACCTCATCAGGCAGTTGCTTGCACATACTTTCCCCCAGAGCTGAAAATTACCAACCAGTAACTTTGTGCTTTTTTTTGCAAATTGCTGCTGGCCAACAATCTTCACCTGACTGTTGCAAAGCTCCCCTATCAGATGATAAGCCCTTACATGGGGAGATACTGTCTGTCACAAGCACTTAGAGGCCAAGCAAAATGAGCCTCCCAAAAACCCATTGGGACCAAAACTTGCTTTAAGTATAGACAGGAACAACATGCATCTTGCATTCAGCTGTCACTCTGCCGGAAACTGTTTCAGTAAAATGGGTAATTGGAAGCTTTTCAGCCAGCCTTCCCCTGGAAAAATCTGAGAAAGTAATTGCTTCCTGCAGAAATAAAGGTGTTTCCTCTCTTCACGAACCACTTTCTCTTTTCTTCATCCAAAATGCTTTGGAGGTCGTGTTATTGTGTCCGGTTATTGGATGGGGAGCCTGTATTACTAAGCTGTGGGACACAAATAAAGGCCTCCCTTGAGACTGCAGAGCAGTGGGCAGCAGATCTGCCTGGTGGGATGGGACCCAGCAGTGCAACCCCATGAGCTGCTCCCTCCTTATGTCTCCTGCACGCAGGAGGTCTGGGGAATGCTTGTGGGGCTGGGTTCTCCATCACCCCAAAGATGGGACTGGTAGCAAAGTAGTTCCCCAGGGTTGGAGGAGAAGGGAGGAATATGGAAATTGGTTTGCTGTTCCAGCAGACTGTGCAGGGATGGCATCCCCATGCAATGCCTGATAAGGTGGCTGGAGAGATGCCAGCTGTCACACTACTCCAGTCCAGTAACACTGGGTTTGGGTTGGAAATGGTTTTCTGGGCATATCTGACCCATGTGCTTGTTTCCTCAACAGAGGGTGTAAAATTTCCATTACTGTCAGTGGCTATTTAAGAAAAAGTACCACTCTGAAATGATGATTTTCTTCTCCATAATGGTGGATCTTAATGCAAAAGAAGGGATTTGTTTGGCTACTGTGAAATGCTGGGACAGAGAAAATAATCTTTCTGCCCATTCCTTTTGCAGGGATGCGTGGGCTTTTGAGTCATGCTGCTTAAAGGCTTTGGAGCTGATACATTTAGAGCAATGCTTTTAAAAAGAATTTAAAGAAATTTTGCTAAATGCAGACAACCTCTAGCACTACCCACATTATCCTGAAGTGATGGATAAAATATGGAAATCTTTTTAGCTTGTGAGTTTCCTAGCGTTTTTGAGGAGTCTTCCCTCAAAAATTAATCACCTTGAGTTTGGACAACACTCAAAAACCTGCTACACACTCAAAGGATTTCCGTGTTTTTCCATCTCCATTTGGGAGATTATGTAGGTAGTGCTGGCATTTCATCACTGCCACCAGAATCTGCTTTATTTACCTATATTGTTCCAGCTTGCAAAAAAGAGCCAGAGGCCTTGATTAGATATTTAGTCAGGTGATATTTCCCCTGTGTGCAGGAGCAATAGCTCTTTGACTTGGTTAACACTGCTGAATTTTGCTGTCTGCTCCCTGCGTTTCCTTTTCCTTTCCTTTCTTTTCCTTTTGACATTTAGTAGGACTGCAGATGTTTGGAGCCTGAACTTCATAATGATGGTTTTCATTATGCTGTTTAAATAGACTCTGGAACTGGTTGAGGTTCCACAGACTGGATTCTTTACTCCTTCATTAGCTTTGATCAATGCAATTTCATTAGCGAAAAGCATTGCCAAATGGAGTGGAATCTACTTAGGGGCATCGTTTAATGGATGCTATCAAGGATGACCAGGCTTAAAAACTACTTAATTTCATATTTTTTAACTCAGTTTGACTCATTGAAGGCTCCCATTTACTGACAGATAAAATGATAATTTCTCTGCTGACTTGGCCTCAGCAGTGCTGCTGCCTTCCTGGGGCCGCTGCCAGCACTGCGCAATGCTGATGACGGGCTGCAGCCCACAGAGGTAGGCTGGGGATCCACCAGTTCCTGTGGGAGCTCCCCTGAGGTCAGCATGTTCATCTGCCTTGATTCCCTTGCTGTCCTCTCTGCCATTTTTATTCCTGTGTTGTCTGTCCCTTCCTGCTGCCACCTCAGCAGAGTGACTCTGTGCCCTTGCCCCGCAGGCATCCATCATGACGGGGAGCGTGCACAACCTGGGCCTGGAGGGCAGCAAGCTTCTCCTGGACTCTGTCAACCCATCGGGGCTGAGCCCATTGAGGAAGGCAAACTCCAGCTGTGACAATGGACAGACTGAGAGCAGCAGCTCCCCTGCCAAGAAGAATGAGAGGAACCTGGACATGAAGAAGATGGAGAAGGAGATGCAGGAGATCATGTCCCCTACCCCCCTTGAGTTTCACAAGGTCTGTGTTGCCAAGGGTTGGTTTGCCTTGGCACAGTGGTACCTCGATGGGAAAAGCTGATGGATGTGTTGCAGCCCCATAGATAATGCTCCCTGTTGACCCTTTGCCAGTGGCACACACCGTTCAGTAAGCTGCTTTTTTTCTGAGAAATCATTTCTTTTCTGTCCCATTCCTCTTCATTCCCAGCCTTTCCTAAATGGGGTGCAAATGGTAGGACCTGAGTGACAGGGTACTTGTTTGAATTCAGTACGTGGGTGATTGCAGCCAGTTTAAGTGTGGTGCAAGGCAATGGTAATTAGAAGGAGTAATTAGCTGTAGAAGCTGCTGATGCAGAATGCAGGCAGGGAAGGGAGCTGGAGAGGTTTCAAAAGCTGATTCCTTTTTCTTTCCTAGTGATTTTACAGTGAAACCTGCAGTTAGGGCAGTTGGGAAAAACAACTTTTTCTTGTTTGATCTGCTTTTGTCCTTCAGGGCATGGCAAATGCACCTTTAAATAAAACTCATTCCTGATGGAGGAAAGCTGAGTAATTAGGTGTGTTATAGGGTGAGCGTTCTTTCTGCTGGAGCATCTGGTGCTGGAGGTATTTGGAGATGAGGTTGGGGCCACCTGGGCAGCTCCTGGGCATCACCCTGGGCACTGTCCTGCCCATGGATCACCGTGGGGCTTCCCCAGCCACCAGCACCCCTGATGCAGTCCGAGTCTGATGGTAGAGATGCACTCCCAGTTCATGGAAGGAAAAGGGGGACTGTGGTGGAGGGAAACAGTTGTTCCTTATATTGCTTTCTCCCATTGGCTCCTGCCTTGCCTTGTGGCAAGATGCACTTCTAGCAGCACACATCTCCTTTAGAGACCGGAGTGTGATTGTGATCTAGGGAAGATGGTTAGATTACCTGGTTCTTGTCCTCAGTAAGCCAGAACCAATGAACAGTATTAAGCAGTATAGATATTTGTGCTGTCTCTGCAGCATTCTAATGTGTGTTTTCTGCTTCTGCCCCTCCAGATGACACTTCACAAAGACCCAGAGAGCGAAGACTTTGGATTCAGTGTGTCGGATGGCCTGCTAGAAAAAGGTGTCTATGTAAATATGGTCCGTCCGGATGGGCCAGCAGATCAGTGTGGCCTCAAGCCATATGACAGAGTGCTTCAGGTAATAAATGCAAAATGCAGTTCTGGAGGCTGGGACGGAGTGAATGAGTGGCTGAGAGGAAGAGAGAAGTGAGACCCATCCATGACAGCACTAACTGTAATGAAAGGTAATAGTTAGCCAACTAGGCGAGCACCTACCACCTAACTCTCAATGAGACCTGTGTTTTGTATAAGAAATCTCTAGGTAGCAAAGGCTGGTTCCCCTAGCTGACACCCAGCCCAGGGAGCACCTCCACACACAGCTGTCCCAGCACTGTCTTTCTGAGCGTGGGCAGCTCACAACCAAAACAACCAAAAAGCCGTGTCGCTTTCCCTCTTCGCCCTCAATCCTTTTCCTATCATGAAAGAGGGTGATTTTTGGACAAACTAGACCGTGTGGACCAATATGTGTTCTTGTGAATCCCCCGTGGAGTTAAGCAGTGTTCATGAAGTTCTGTGCATGCCTTTGACAACTAAAAGTTTTCTAAGAAACAACCATCCTTCAAGCAAAGTGTTTTTCATGGATATTTTCCTCCGAAAGACACTCGATCTGAAACAACTGACGCAGAAACAGAATAAAAGCTCTGATCAAATAAAAGTAACTTGGTCATATCTGCCTGCCAGAGGGACAATGGGAGCACGGTGCCTTCTGGAGTTTGGAAAGCAACTTTATATGGATGAAAAATAACAAGTTTTGCTTTGGAGCGACTCAAATAGCAACTGAGAAAGTGTGGCTTTGATGGAAAAATTGCCACCATTTGGAAACGCAGATATTGTGACTGTATTTGGAAGCACTCAGAAAGATGTTTAGTTTTGCTACTTTCTAGGCGGTGGCTGTTAGCAGCAGAATCAGAGCCAATATATTATGTACATCAGGTAACAGGAGAGCTGGCAGCGCTGTGGGGAACCTTGTTTAAGCTTGTTATGATCTCTAGCCAGTTGGCTGCTATACAATTATTCCTTCTCGGATTCAAATAAAAGATGGTGCAAGAATGAACAAGAAGCTAATTAGGCTGTAGGCTGCCTTTCTATTGAATGTTGGATGTGTTGGTCTTTGCAAGTGCCAAGTGCTCTGGGAGGTGTGCCTGAAATCCCAAACAGAGCAGAGCAGAGACTTCTGAGACTCCCCCTTCCCACATGCTGTGCCACTCAGCTTCTACCTACAAGAGGACAAGGCAGTTGCCATTGCGTTGCTGTGTGCAGCAGTGATGGATGAGGGATTGCAGACCTGGTACAGGCAAATCCCAGCAAGAAGCACGGCGATACGCTGCTTCACAGTGCTGCTGGTTACGGGCATGATGATGTGTCTGCAAGCAAGTTCCAATGCTGAAGGCCACAAAACATGTTGTCCCTGCAAAGGACCCTCTGCCTCTTGGCTGATGGATTGCCCGGAGCACAGCATTGCACTAATGGCTTTTCTGCACTGGAGCTGCCCAGCCAGCATGGAACAAAGGCAAAGCAAGCTCATGGCTTATTTCTTCTCGTCTGTGTGCAACCTGGAAGTTGTCCCTGATCACTCATCTATAAAGAGCAGTACTGAGTTTGGCTGTGTAGCTGCCAGCTAGGGCAGGGTGGCACTGCTGCCATTACAGAGCCCAGCTCCATGGGCATGCATTTATCCTGAGAAAGGGCTTTGGATGCAAGGGTTGCATGGACTTACCCAGCCCTTATCCTGAGAAGGAATCAACGCCTGGCCTGAGGGGTTTTGTTCACTCCAAAGGTGGGTGGGAAATTCCTTTCTCCCCTCCCTGCTTCCCCTCCCCATGCTATTTGCCAGCCCTCTCCATCCTGGGGCTGTCATGGCACCGAGCCCAGGTGCTCTGGGAGCTGTAGGCAGGAGAGCTGGGATGGCTCCTGCAAGTGACCCAGCCTAGAAATATGCTTCAAGATGCTCAAATGAGCAGGAAAAGTGCTTTCACTGCTCAGTCCTGCAGAGAGGATTTGCAGCCTCCACAGCCACCTTCTTGAGCCCATGTGAAATGCATCTGGACTCCTCCAAAATGAAAGATGTAAACGGTGTGAGGAGAAGCAGGAACTATTCAGTATAATCCTGATTTACTGCCTGCTGAGCTGGAAAATGGTCATTTGAAGCCTCAGGGTCTGTGCTGTGTTTGTTTTCTAGGTGCTGAATGCCCTACATCACAGATTTAAGGCCAGTAAAAGCCATGATGGCAAAAAATCATATAGCAACCTTTCCTCCCACAGGCTTGACCTAGAGAATTTATTTTTGAGCCCTGTAGAGTTCAAAAGGTGTAATACTGTCTTAGACTCCAGGGGTGAGGATTTCTGCCTGATCCAGGCTTTTTCCCCTTTTCTCTACCAGTTATGGAGCCATTCCTCAGCTATGGCAGGACATGCCCAGCTCAAAGGAGGGGGCCAGTGCTCTGCTCTGCTGTGACCCCTCAGTCAGAGTCCCCCAAGCGCTGTGTGTTTTCACAGGTGTGGGTTTAGCACCAGCCTTCTTTTTTCTGACTAACAAACCTGGTGTTTCTGTTGTTCCTCCCTATGGCACATCCTAAATCCATCCCCACAGGTAAATCGTGTCCGAACGAGAGACTTTGACTGCTGTCTGACTGTCCCCTTGATCTCAGAGGCTGGAGACAAGCTGGACCTGGTGATCAGCCGAAACCCTTTGGCTGCCAACGCTCCTCCGGAGGGGAATGGGGAGCTGCTGGCACAGGCAGCCCGCGCCGAGGTCAAGGCGAGCGTCCAGACACTGTGAGCAGCCGCAGCGGATGATGCCTGGGGCCTCTGCTGAGCCATTGTGGTATTTGGGGTGTTCTTCCTGTTCTTTGCACTGGTTTTTGTAAATGCTGTGTGTATCATCAGCTCCAAGGGGGGAGGTGGGTCTTCAGTGAGCTGTCACCTGTAGGCCAACCAACGCTGCTGGGAAGGTTGAAGCTGGATGTGTGTTTCTGGGGCTGGGGTGAGCTGCTGCATCCCCAGTGCATTGTGGTGCATGGGGTCCTGCCCCAGCACCTCCTCGTTCTTCAGGCCTTGGCCATCCTACAAACACACATGGTGCTATTTTTATCCTTGTTTGCTCTGTTTATCACATACAGCAAGACTGAACTGTTGTTCTTTTTCTGTTGTACCCACCTCCACCCTCCAAATACACACACTCCTGATACATTGATTCCTGCAGTCCCTTTCTCTCCTGCTGTCAGGCTATGGAGGGCCCTGTTTAAAGACAGTTTGAAATGCACTTGATGGTGTCTAGGTGCAGTTCTTGTTCAGAAATTTATGTTTGCAGCTGCCTCACGCCAGCCCCTTCCATGCTGCCCCAGCAGGGCTGACTCAGCCCAGTGCCCACTGCCCAGGGCACCTCGTCTCACCATCAGCAGTGCAGTCGTCTGTGCCACACAATGGTATTACAGAGCAGAAGGCTGTGCCCAAGGCTGAAGACCCTAAATGCCTGCTCAAATCCCTAACTCCTGTTTTTCAGATGGATGTTATGGAGTTAATGCAATTAAAAAGCAGAAGTGTTGTTATCCAGGGTGGTTGATGTTTTGAATTAATGGAACCTTCTTGTCCCCTGCCAGGCAGTGAAGTGAGAAGTCCTGCGGTAGATGGAGATCGTGCATCCCCTGCCCCCACCTGCACTAGCAGTGCCTACGTGGCTTTGCTTTGTTAACCCCATTGCCTGTTGCTGGCCTTCTCATGGCCTCCAAGCATGGTGCCCCTGCTTGTCCCCATTGCCCCTGTGTGCCCAGGCCATGGGGAGGAGGCAGCTGAGGTATTTGTGTCAGCTTCCCCATCTGCAGGAGACAGTCAGAATCTGGCTGTGGGCTCCTCCTCCTCTCTTTGCTGTGAGTTTCTCCTGTGGCAGATGTGAGCTGCACTCTGTGTTCCACGTCTTAGCACTTTATGATGACGTTAGCATCCTGGCATCACTTTGCCCATGAAGGCTCAGGTGTGGTGGTATGGTGGAGGTGAGGAACTTGCATGGTTGTGGGCTGCAGCCCTGGTGACCACTGTCCCCATTCCCCCACTCACCATTTCATTTCCTCCATCACCACCCCATAGCAGTGCTGTGTTCAGGTGCCATAGAGCTATATGCAGCACGTTTCTCATTTTGCTGAGCCAGGATTCACTCTTGCATCCATCCCCACTTTGCAGCTCTGTCCCTCCACGATGGCCCAGTATAGTGGGGTGTTTCTTTGAGGTATGTCCAGCCCCATCCAGCTACTTGTCAGTGTAGCCATTTTCTCTTCGAGTATGCAATATCCCATACCATTGCTGCCACAACTAGATAATGTGCCATAATTGATACTGTGGAGCATTGACAGTGCAGCCGAAAGTGTTTTTATATGCAATATTCTGAACAGCGGAAGCTCGCTGGGGCTTCTCATAGGTTTTTAATGAAGACTTTTATTAAAGGCTTTAAAAAAAGGAAGAAAAACTTGGTCCTTGTATCCCTTCCTATGCATTTTGAATGATATGAAGATGAAATGCATTACTTAAATGTGTATTTTTATCCATATATTAGAGTGTATTCCTTGTAAAGTATTTTTATATGCTGATTTTCTTATGTATCTATGAAAGCACAATATTTAAAAGTACAGCATTTCAAAGAATATTTTAGTCCTGTTTTGGACCTATTTGTAAATCTCTGTATTTAAATGGCATTGCAATGACTTTGACTTTTTTTTTAATTAAATAAAAACAAAGGAAATGCATGTGTTGTGGGTCTGTTTCTTTCTGTTAGAGGACAGGAGTAGGGCATTACTCTGCATCCAGCCCTATTTTCCCTTCCCAGAGAACCCCTTCTAAGGCAATGAGGAAGACACAGGGTTGGTGGGACCACTACTAGGGCTCCCAGTGCAGTCTTCGGATTGGCACTTGCCACTGCCCAGCAGCAGGATTTGGGACCACTTGCTTTCCTCCCTGCAGATAAGGGGACTGTTTCTCTGCAGCTCTCTGCCCATGCTCCATGGCTGTGGAGATACTTACATGGTTATAATATTGCTTACATCAACTTGGCCACACCGGAAGCCTCCTTGGTTCAAACCTTGGCTACTTCATGACAAAATATTGGTGTGGCATTGCACATGGTGGCTGTGAAGTAGCAGTGTTTGCAAAGTAGTGGGTAGTCCCCAATGGAAGGGATAAGGAGGTGACCTGATGGGCACTTGGATTCCCAAGATGCATGAATCATAGAATCAATCACCAAGGATGGAAAAGACCTCTAAGATCATCCAGTCCAACCATCCACCTATCACCAATATCAGCCACTAAGCCACATCCCTCAGTACAACATGTAGATGTTTCTTGAACACCTCCAGGCTTGGTGACTCCACCACCTCCCTGGGCAGCCCATTCCAGTGCCTGACCACTCTTATCACAGAATCACAGAATTGCCAGGGTTGGAAGGGACCTCAAGGATCCATGAATCTCCAACCCCCCTGCCACACGCAGGGCCACCAACCATTCCACCTAATGCTAGACTTTCCCTTATGTCCAACCTGAATCTCCCCAGCACAACCTAAGCCAGTGGGGTGCTGCACTACAGGAGCCAAATTATCCAGCCTCTGGAGCCAGGCGTCTAAAAGACAACCACCACAAAGCCACTGGGAGAGCTCACATCCTTACAGGGAGGCCTTCTTCCCTTTGCTTACAGAGGGATTAAGGGACACTGCTACACTTCCAGTACATGCAGAGCAGGCTCTACGTTCCCCAGATACAACTATTGGGAAGTGCTGCTCCCTGGCAAGCAAAGGGTGTGCTGTGTTTTGCAACCCTTCACCACCAAGTGGGTAGCACAGGAATTTTCGGAGGTCGGGCACGGAAACACTTCTGGTTAGAGCTTGGGAATCATTGCCGTGTAAACAAACCTTATCGGTCATCTCTGGCTGTCCTCAGGGCACGGGCTGCCAAGCAGAGCCCTTCACATGTCTGGCACCAGGGCCGTGCCAAAGCCGCTTGGCGCCAGCGCAGGCACTGGGGCCATGTCAGGTTGAACGCACACCCATGCAACGTGAGCATGGGGCTCTGCCTCACACAGAGAGAAAAGGGCAGCTCAGTGCAGCCCGGACACACGGGTGAGTGGGGAGCTGCCTGCTAATGGCACCCCGCAGCCTGCAGGCCTTGGCTGAGGGATCCAGCCCAGGGCAGCTCACAGCCACTCATGGCCAGAGCATGGAGCCCTTCAGCAGCTTTGTGTAGTGCTGTGGGACTTCTGGCTGATTATTTTATATCTGAGACACGTTGCAGTGTCCGTACAGGTGTTGGGCTGCTCAGCCCAGGCATTGCAGGCTGTGCCTTGGCACAAAGGCCTCAACTCTCACCCACCAAAACAGTAATGCAACCAAGTCAAAACCAAGCCATTTCCCTCCTCAACACAACTTAAAAAGCTTCAAGATGCACCAGGGAAACCTGGCTGGGGGGCTGCTGGACATGGTCCATGTCCTCAGCTCCAGCTGGATTATCAGCAGCAATCCTGACCACAAATGCTGTGCAGTTTGCCATTCTGCTTCTCAAAAACATCAATCAACTGACTTTCCTTTTCTTTCCTTTCCCCCTCTCCAAGCATGGCTTAGGGAAAAGCATTTCTGATTTAACTTTCATTTGTCCAACTGAAGGGGCCATCAGAGCCCTTTAAATGACAAATCCCATACATGAATTTATTATCTTTGTTCTTGTTTTTCCCTTCTCATTGAGCTTTTCTGCACCTGACTCCCTTACCTTGTAACCTTGTTATGCTGCGACCACAGCAGTGGGGCAAAAAAAGGAAGAAAACTGGGCAATAAATAAATAATAAATAATTTCCATACTTTCACACTGCTCCCTTTGTCTGTGAGTGAATTAACGCAGCAAGTAATGGGCTTAAAAGGAAGAGCTGAGATGCTCAGAGATCGAAAACATCAGTGAGCACAGCTGGTTTATAAAGGAAAGTTTTATTTTCTGATATAAGGTGATTACAAACTCATCTAAAAAAGCAAAGATGACTTAAAAATATCCATATACATTTCATTTATCTAAAAAGCAAAACAGAAACTGCAAAGTACAAACATTTACCATATACACAAAGGCTAGGGGGGTCATAGGATTAAATTACACTCCAGGAGAATTTTCAAATACAAATATTCCATCTTGGAACACACACACGCACACACACACACACACAGTTTTAAAATGTTTTAAAAATATTTTTCTTCTTTTTTTTAAAAAAAAAAAAAGTCCAGATGACATTTTTGAGGAGGTTATCATCACCACCCCCTCTCTGTATGTGCTACTCATCACCGTACTGTAGTCACAGTTGCTAGGAATTTAAATAATAAAAAAAAAACAAACCACCACTGTTTTTCAGCCAAATACATCAAAGGAGATGGACCACCTCTCACAACATGAAACCCCCGGCAACATTATCAGGTAACAGCCACCACATCACACTGGGAAAACAACAGCCTATTATTGAACAACGAGCACTTCAGAACAGTGCTGGGATGCTGTGATGCTGAGAGACCTCGCTGCCCTGCAGGACAGGAGCAGATGACACCATCTGGATGTGCCCCAAGGGTGTTTTTGGCCTCTCAACACGAGTTTGCTACTGTTCTTTTTTTTTTTTTTTCTTCTTTAAATAATAATAAAAAAATCTTTTTAACATCTCAACCGCAGAAGTAGATGCAAGAGATTTAGAAACCATACATATCATGCTAACATGTACTATGCTACGTGCCCAAAGCCTTCCCTTGTACGCACACAAAGCACACATGCACAGCTCCTCAGCGCAACCAAAACGCTTTTTTGTTTTGCTTTTTTTAATTTTTCATATTTTTCCCCACTTTTTCCACTAACTCGGAGCACAGAGAGCTGCTCCACATAAGGCTGGCTGTGCTCTATGGCAACACGAGCAGCAGCGCTGTGCTGCAGAGCTGCAACACAGGGAGGAAACCTCCACAATCATCTCACCCCTTTCTAAAGTGTTTCTAATTCGCTTTGCTCCTAAAGCACAGAACTGTGTAAAGCATGGAGCAATTACACTCTGACAGTTTTACAGTTTATTTCCAATTAGGACGAAGCCACAAAACAAAGAAGGACGTGTTTGGGCTGTCATTCAATACCCAGCAGGGTCAGGCTCTTTTCCAATGGCAAACCCTGCAATCAAACTTCTTCACCTCTACTGGGGATGTGGGAATGATTATTTGTTTTCTTAAGGTTTTAAGCCTGAAAAATTCTTCCCTCTTTTTTTTTTTTTTTTTGTCAAATCATATCTGAAGTTTTTGCTCCTTTAGGATGTGGGTAAGCTGAAATCACCAGCTCACAGCTGGAAGAAGCATGCAAAAAGTTATTTCCTCTCTTTACTTTTTGAATAGAAACGAACGAATTCAGATTATTATTACTTTTTAAAGCATAGAATCATTGTGCAGGAGCAGCTGTTTTTGGAGATGGAAGAGCCACGCTCTGGGAAAGGGGCAGATTTCCAGCTGGGGTTCAGGCTGCTTATGCCAGAAGTAATTCTTGAGCAAATCTTCCAGCAAGCTCAAATTAACCACTGATACCAACAGATCATTTTCTGTGACCGAATTATGGAGTTTGGGATGGAGGGGCTGCTTTTGTTCATTGGTTTCTCCACTGAGAACTTACTTTCTTACGCTTATCTTTGATTACAAGAAATAAAAAGGAGCTACTTAGGTTCTGACAGTTCCCAACCTTTGCTCATGCAAATATACAAATACACAACTAAATGTTAATCCTCACCACAAAAAGCTTTGGATGCTGATTTTGGAGGAAACAAGTCCAAGGCTGCTGCCCAAGCCCTCTGCACTCCCACCTCCAGCAGCAGGAGCTGTACTTACACAGAGCCAGGAGTCCAACCTCGAGGATTCCTCAGCAGGGCCAAGGCCCAGCATTTTGGCATTGTATCTCCCTTTCAGTATCTCAGTTTAGCCAAGTCCATTTGGATGCCCTGGAGGTCAGCACTTTCTAAGAAAGCAGTGCCTAAACCATCTCAGCTCCCATCCCAATAGCTTGGAAAGTCGTATGCATAATTTGCAGCTTTGGAAAGGAAGCTATGTCCCCACTTGTGTGCATGCTCTTAGGGGTGGAAGATTTCATCTACTAGTCTATGTAAGAAAAGACCTTTTTATTTTCCTGTTACTCGAGGTGAGCAACTTGCACTGAATCTTTTGGAAATGATTTCAGGGTCATCTTTCTTCCAAGTATATTTGAGCTGCTTAGCTAACTTAGTCCACTCCATTCAATACACAGTTTATTTAACATTTTATATACACTATGGCCCCACACATGATCCTGCAGTGACTGCAGATGTGGAAGCTAATAATCAGTTATACAAAGGGTTCAAATCCCCCACCAATGGAGTACTGCCATTGGCACAAAGTGGGAGCTTTGAACCCCAGTGTGACAAGCACAGCCTCACCAAAATTGCAAGTCTCCTTGACAAATAAAAACAGACTTGGAGGAGACTTGTAAAAAGCCTATTGAGTGGAAATGTTCATGTGTCTTCAGAGCTGTTTGAACTGTTCTAGCGCTGAGGCAAGGAAGAGGAACAGGAACATCTGCAGTTGAGAAAGGTGGATACACAGCAGAGTGCAAAGTGCTGCAGAAGATGCTGCCCTGATAGTGGCAAAAAAGGTTCTGCAGATGCATGGGTTTATTTATTTATTTTTTTTAATGTGTGTTACACCAACCATAAGGCTGCACCTTCTTTTCTCTTTCTTCCTCTCCCCAAGAACAACAGTGGAAATCAGCTTTGCTGCTCCAAGACTGATTTCACCCAACTCTCCACACCTGCGTTGCTGCTGCAGGTTGAACACCAGCATTGTTTGAGGTGGTAAATACAGCTGCCACGCTTTGATATTTCCATTTACTACACAAGAACAAATCCATGGTGGACCTACTATCTCACACTTCAAAGAAGACTTTTCTAAATGTATGGATCGGTTTGGACCAGATAAAAAGGAAAGCTATAGATGAAAAGGTAAATGACAACAGTAGCAACAACAATAATAGTAATAAAAACCAGTTCTATTTATGAAATCATATTGTTTAAATACCAAAATACAGAATACTGGTAAAGTCCCTTACAATAGATGCCCATTCAATAAGATCATAACTAGTCACAGGTGAACTACAACAGATGTTTGGAAAACTGGGAAAGATTAGGAACAACTCGGAGAGTCTCGTGGTGCAAATGTATTTGCAGTTCTGCCATCTCCCAGTCTCAGCTCAGCTGGGAAGGAATGCTGCTGAAATGTGCCATTTCCAATCCCACAGGAGCTGAGCAATACAAAGCTGTGTGGGAAATGAGAGGTGTGCTTTTGTTTTGTTCTGCTGTCTTTACATTCAATGCTCTCATCCTAAAGATCTCATGCCAAAAGCCACACATTTTTTATCAGTATCCAAACCAGTTCACTTATGACTAGCCATGATAACTCAGTATAGAGTTCCTCATTTACAAAAAACAGGTAAAATAAGTCACAAATGTTTCAACAATTAGGAACAAGAAATCAGTTGTATTTGCAATCATAAATAGGTAGGAAACACAGACTTAAAAATTATTTTTTAATAATTTTGGCAGAGGATCACATTGAAATGCAAATTTATCGATATTCAACAAGAAAAGTTCAGAAACCCGATAAAAAACGTCAGGTAAAAAACACTTTAAAATGTGCATGTGCTCATTGGAGCTCAGACCCCATTTAAAACAAAAAGAATCATTTTGGAGGGGAGAGGGGAACTATTTTCCAGAAACATTTCTTAGCTCTCCATGAGCCCCAGTCCTCCCTTGCAGTCATGCTGATGAGCACAGCAGGGCCAGAGCAGTGTACTTGGAGAACACTTCAGTGAGGTTGTTGCACACGTGCAAGACTCACTCACGTGGTACATGGAAGCAACTGATTTGAATGGCACAAAGTTCACATCGAAATGGGGCTGGGTTCTGGTTCTCTGGTTGTTGTACTTTTAAAGGTGTAGTATTGGCCCTCTGGTTTTCTGCACAAAGATGCTCTCCACAAGCGGGAGATGGCTAACTGAACCCACCAGACATCTCTGATGTAGTCAAACCATTTTTTCCCTACCTAAAGCTTGTCTGAGCTCTATAGTACAAATCTGATGTGCAAACAAATCTCATATGCAGCCATATGACAACATATCAAGAAAATTAAATATAAATTAAGCATCAGTGTTTCATCTACGCTCACATAAACCATTAAACTCCCCCCCCCCCCACCCAAACCTCATGCTTCAATCTTAACCCAGGCAAGCATGCCTGTGCACTGCAGACATTAATCGTAACGAAAAAACAAGGGTCCATGTTGAATCCCACCAAAAGAGTCATCCACAATCACATTTCCTCATCTTTGATGATTAAAAGATTAAAAAACAAAAACAGCTGTTTCCTTATTTTGCACACATTTGATGGCAAATTCCAGCCAGAACCCTCCTGGCCCAATGGAATTCCTGCTTTTGGGATGGCAGTTGCCACTGCCCTGCAGCTGAAATCAAAGTTTGCCATCTCCAGCTGTGGAAAAGTTTCCTTTATAACTCTTGTAATACAGCAACCAGAAAAAGAAAACACAAGCAATGCTGATATGGCTGGTTTTGTTGCTGCAACTCAGCCATGCGATGTAAAAATACATACAAATTCAAGCTAGAAAAAAAAATAATCTTGTTTTGCTTTTGGTCCATCTTTTAGCTTTAAATCACCCTTTTCCTTTTACAGTAATACCAACAAGTTGTTCAACAAGTGTGCTGCTGCAGCCAGTTAGTCCATGGGACATGAACAAACAAACCAAACCTTCTCTGTAGGAATGTTTCAAGTTGGATATGTTCCTGTTTAAATGACAAGATCTGCCCTGACAGACTAAACTGACAGCAAAATCAACAGATACAAGCTCTGCTGTTGTCAAGTTATTTCCCCTAGATACCTTTGGATAGCCTAATATCAGGGGTATCACGAGAAGAAAAAAACCCTCTCTCAAAATAGAATGCCCACAAGAAAAAGCTGAGTTTTGCCAGAGAATCTGTTCCCAGCACAACCTGCTCAAGTTTAAAACAAAACAAAAGAAGACTTCTGTCCATGTCTTGTACAGTCTTCAGGGAGCAGCTCCCCATGGAAGCATCCCCCTGGCCCACACAAAAGCATCCCCCAGCAAAGCTGCTGCACCCCCCACTGCCACACTCCTCCCAGTGGTGTTTTCCTTATTCCTCAGCTCAACCTGGAATGGTGCACAATTCCTCCGGACCAAATAAATATAAAATATTGCAGTGTTACATTTCCTTTGCTTTAACTCAAAGTCCCCTATGTGCTGTTTCTTCAACAGACATATCCATAGGCTTTAGAAATATGTCTGCCACCCTCCAAAAGAAATTGCAATCTAACCTAATGGTGGGCAAGGAGATGGAGAACCCAGAAAGTTACCATCAGAAAGATCAACACAGTGGAAGAGCAATACAGAAGTCTAACAGCAAAGGGACCAACACAGATGAAATGGTGTTACAGTGAAAAAGGAAAGGTCCTCACCCATCTCCGAAGCTCTAGGCTGACAGGAAAGACTCCACAAAGGAAGGATCTCCAACCAGAGAACCTTCTGGAATGGCAGTCAGCCCTTAAATGGGGTCTAAGAGAGGCACAGCCAGGCTCCACCCCTTCTGGTCACACAGCTGAATTGCCTTCACCTGTGCTCCCAGGGCTGACCCGGTCCTTTCCCAGGTGCTCAATCAGTGGTTCAGGCTGTGACTCAGCTGTTAGCACACACCAGATCCACTGCTGCTTTAAGAAACACAATCCTTCTGTCTGTTCCCCCAACAGTATCCAATTCCTCCAAATAAATAAACAAAGAGAATCCTGGTTATCAAACCCAGCAAAGCATTCTCGAGATACATGGATGAAAAGCACATGTTTGCTGGCTGATATTATTATCTTCATCACTATTATTATTAACAAGGCTATAAACAGTGCTTACGCCAGGTGTAGGTGAGTGGCTCTGCTCCTGGTGTTGGGGATGACCTGCACTGTGCCCACCTTTGGACAGTCAGAGTCCGCAAAGGATTGGTGGTTTTTTTTAATTATTTTTCTGCCCCAAACAAAGTCCAATAGTTAACATGCAAATGAGTGAGTGGGCAAACACCTGAAGCACCAGGATCACAGGTGCTGCTCTGTGCTGCTTGGGGACAGGCTGCAGAATTCAAGCTTATCCCTGTGACATCTCTGCTAAAATCTTTGCTGGAACACTAAAGAGCAGGTGCTCAACCTGCCTGATCACACAAGCAGCAGGCACTTCACCTAAACAAAAAATAATAACAATAAATAAAGAGCGAGCCTTGCCAAGTCCTGGAAACACCTTCCTCAAGCCCTCCTCTTGTTTGTGTGCCTGGATCCCAGCTCTGTGCCTGCAGGAAGGGCTGCGAGGCTCTTCACACCCAGCTCCTCTGCCCACTCACACACCCTGCTCCAGCTGCCCGCTGCTATCTCTATTCAGGGACTGTGCTAAACACAACTGCACCCTTTTCCATTCTTGTGACCCTGAAGCCTGTCGTTCACTACAACTGAACCAGAGGGTGAAAATACTACACCTTTGAAAATTCTCTTGAAACAGCATCTTTGTATTTTGTTGTTGTTTTTTTTTTTTTTCCTCATATCTCTCAACAGAGCGCCTTTTGTGTGTTCTTAGGTTACCCTGCTCCCAACCACACCAGCACCTAAAATTGCTTTCTGAGACTTGAATATATTGCTGGCAAGACAATCAATTCAAGTGGTAAGGTGTATAACGTTTAAGAGATAAAGATATATATATATTTAAAAAAACAATAATAGTAAATTCCTGTAATATGTCTAGTCTGATATGAATGCTCTCCCTCTACAGAGAGACATCTGCTGTGATTACGTTACAAAATATTAAAAAAAAAAAAAAGCACACACAAAAAATAACTTTCTCTGTGAGAAATAAAAATAAATCCTAGTGCAAATATAAAGCTCTGTAAACCTGGTCCTATGAGAATCTATGGTTAGTAAACGGCAGTTAAAGCAGGTTTATCCTCTCACAGAGAGAGCTCACATCATGGTTTCCACAATGATATGAGTTGGCTTGATCAATCCGCCATTCGAAGTTCCATTGGGGCAGAAGGGAGTGCCACTCTCTGTTTCTTTGGACCACCGATTCACTTCCTTGGGGGCAGCCACTGCTTTTATCCTCTGAAAGAAAGGGAAAAAAAAAAAGCAAAGGTTGAGAAACCACACAGACCACATGCCTTCCTGTGCAGAACGAAGGACGTGGCAATTCAAGCACAGGGCTCTGCAAGGGCTGCGCAGTTGTACCATGGTGGAGATTTGCTCAGTGGAGCCTGACTTGAGGCAGGCACGTCAGAGGGCATTCACAGCATTATCCAACACTTTGGACTTTCAGTGCTGCAGCTGCTGCTCAAGTTACGCCTCTTAGCCTTCCTCATTTAGAAACAACTCTACTTTTTAGGCTGCCTTTCACTGCCAAGTGGCAACTTCTCTTCTACATTTCAGTTCACAAAGGAAGAATGAAATGGCATCTGAGCAGTGTTTGCTTTCTTCTCTTTCCTAACATGGTCTTTGAAGAGTGCTTTGGCTACTTTTAGACTTGTCTTTCAATAGATGGGTGACAAAGTAGGCAAGAAAATAGACACATGAAAATGTTCTGGCCACGGCTGAAAAAGGCCATTAGCACTGGGAGGAAAACAAATTCAAGTGTTTGTGCCCTGGGAAATGTTCCTTTCTTATTCTATTCTGTTGGGTTTTTTTCTAAGTGTCCCACTTTCTCCTCCAAGAATACCCTGGGCTGCATTTAAGACCATCTCATTAGGCAAAAACAAAACTAATCTGCAACCTTAGGAAGAGAAGTGCTAAGTTTCATGTTTGCAGTCTCTAAAAACTTTCCACAGGAAGAAAAACAAACCAGGAGAACTGGTGCTGAAATGTGAAGGGCAAGAGTTTGCCTGTATATCTATCTGAACCTGAGAGAATCTGCACTGACAAGTCTGACTCTGAACCCAGATTTTCCAAAGATCAGAAAAATCTTGATCCAGTGTTTTGATTTGACTCATTAAGCCAAATAAAAAAAACATCAACAGCCCAAAACAACCTAAAATGTGAAGCACATTGTCAGGAAAGTTCAACTTGCATTCAGTCCCCCAGAGCAAAAGCCATGCTTGAGAGCCACAGTCCATACCTGAATCCAAATTTCCCTCGAATTAAGAGAGCTTTCAGACAGCTGGGTTCGATCCAGGTATTTCTCTCTGTTTTCTCACTGATTTTTAGGATGGCATTTCCTTTCTCCATGGGGAGGAGAAGAGAGACCTGGCACTGACAAGCACTGAGAAGCACCTTGGACTGAATGCTTGTCTAAACATGGAGGCAACAGCTTTCCTAGCTGGGAACTGCAGAAGTGGTAGGCAAGTAAAATCACCTGGTGTTTGTTTGAGGCCAGAAACCTTTGTGTTTGCCAAAAGGACAGGTGATCTTTAACAGTCTTATCTGCATTCACTGCAGGGGAGGCATCCAACTTTGCCCTACCTGGACAAGGTGGCAGTTCTCCAAGTGCTGTGCTCATTTTGCGTAGAACAGAGCAATTTAAACGCACTCTTCCTCTTCTATACTGACTGTGCAGAAAGGCTGTGTGTTTGGTCATGTTATAATCCAATTTATCAAACTGGTGAGGAACAACAGCATGTTGTGGCCTATTTTCTCTACAAGTCCCCTCCTCCTTTTAGTAAGGAGAAGTGAGGGCTACATCAAGCAACTTCTCTTTTCCAAAGAATGTGTTTTAATGTTAAAATACATTGCTCAAAGCAGAAGTCAAATGCAAAGAACCTGCTGAGATCCCCAAAGGCAGCTCTGCTCTGAATTCACTCTCCCATGTGCAAGGCAGTTTCTGACTTTAAGGGGGTGGTGGTTTCTCTCACCTCAATGAGTGACCCGTCTGACCGTATGATGCGGATGACCATCACCATAGGGATGCAGATCATGGAGGAAAGGGCAAGAACCCATCCCAGGCCGATTGCCCACTCAGGGTATGTGTAGACCTTGTTGTAGGTCAGTGGTTTGTACTTGGCCAAAGAAAAGACAAAGCACCCCTGTTGGTGAGAAAGTAGAATTAAATGAGTCTCAAAAAGGGTTAAAAGCAGCATGGCTCTGATGCTATCACTGGTCCTAAGGAAGACAGGTAGCAAGATGCAGAGTTGACAGATATTTTAAACGAATGGGGACATTATTCTTCCATTTAAATTATTATAAGAGCATCTACATCTGCTCATAAGTAAACCTTTGCTTGGCAATAGAGTGTTAAGTGATAGTGCTGAACAGCTGCAGTACATTGCCTGTCCTTTTTCTGAGCTCAGACACTTGCTAAACACTGCAAGGAGCTTACTTGGAATGTCCTTCCCAGCAAATGAAATAATCCATGTTGAGTGTCTGCCTCAGACTAGCAGTCCTGCCTTGGGACTTTTTGTTAAAATGGCCTAATAGTTCTATTACTCAAAGTAATGCTCTTTGGAGTGAATTGTGTGTGTCACAAATGTAACACACAATTTCTGTGGGCAGTCACATTAACAGACAATGTCTGAGAAGATACCAAGCCTCCAGCAGCTCTGTAAATTGGTCTCTCAATGATACAGTCTTCACTTAAAGAGAAGCAATAAGAGGATGCTTAAAGCTGCCCCATCAGCCTAGGAATAGAACTCACCACACAAAGAACTGGTGTGATCACAATCCAGCTCCATTTCATCCAGGGACCAGGTCTGTATCCAATCATATCCTCAATGGCATCATAAATATTATCAGCGCCTGTATTGGACAGTGAGTATCTTGATCAGAACTGAACAAATAAAAGCCATGTAAGAACTGCAGAATTACAGCTGCCTTTCTTGGCCCCCAGGGGGTATTTAAAACAAGGGTGTCAGATGTATTGCCCAAATTACCACAGCTGTGAAGTTTAAGAAGATTTTCTCCCTCAGAAGCTCAAAGGCTGGGGGAGTCTCTCCTCCCACACACTCATTATTTAGATGCAGGAGTGCAATGCTAATCCCTCCTGCCCCTGTCATAATCATTCTCCTCCCTCCAAAGTCTCACTGAACTTGCCAGAGAGATCATAGGGAGAAGAACACAACAGCAAATGGTACTGTACCCTGCTTCTACAGAAATTGGACTGGCATAAAAAGAAAGCTTGGCTTATTCTGCTTTGTTAATAAGATGGGAGTATATGAAGAATCAGGGAAACAACCAGTGATGAACACTGATCATTCCCAAGCTACAATCTCAGGCAGCAATGAAGGCTGCTTTCAGATTTTGGTACTCAACATCACCTAAAAATAAGGGGACAGAATATATTTTCAGCTTTCTTTTTGTATTTTCTGTTTGTCTGGCTTGGCCTTTGCAGACATTGCTGCTTTGAAACAAAACTCCCAGAGATGAGCACAAATTTTCATGGCTGGCCAGACTTTCAACTCTGCTCTCTAAACATAACACACATAAACACTTAATTGTGCCTTCATTAATTAGCAGTGAAAAAAAACATTCATTTTCATGTGGAAAAACACTGAAAGCTGGCTTCACCCCAGGTGCACATTTGTCTTTAAGTGGTCAGTGCAAATTTATATTAATGGCATGTCTCTGCTGCTGGGAGGGTGATTCTGGGATGGCTGCTGATTAAATGTTTGGCTGTCAACACTCTCACTAACATCCCAAAGCATCAGGTGAAAGGGTTCTCACTTACCATAAACCCAGGCTACAGCAATACATTCAAAGAATGCAACCCACAAAAGGCATACACCACTAGCTGCATAGTAGTCAAAGAGTTGAAAAACATACATGCCACCCTGTAACAGAGAGACACAATGCATTAGGATCCATCAGGAAAAAGATCTGAAAACTTCAAGCCCAGCTCCCAGTAAAATCTGCCAGCAGACCTTGGTGACTGCTGCCTAACAAGCATAAATAGCAAGAAAGTGACATTACCTTCCCCAGGGCATGTGCTTGTTTACTATAGGAAGCATTCTAAACAAGATGACAATCAAACAGAATTAAGCCACTTAGTATAATCTACTGAGACACTTAAGTCTTTCCTTCTTAGAAGTATTTTAGGATGGTCATTTATAGGAACAAGTGACGTAAAGAACCAGTAGGTCTTTTAACATTAAGCAAGCACTATAAATGCCATCAGAGAGGGTCTGTATTTACAGTCTGAGTGAAAGGACTTTTTTTCACTGGAATCTTTTCCTTTCTATTTACGCTGTGCTGCTCCCCTCCTCCTTTTACCACACTGAACTGCGTATGCCTGAACTTGTACTTGAAAAAGGAAGTTTGTTAGGCATCTCTGTTACAGGTGCTATTTCAATTCCCACAATTGCCCTCTTCCAGATGTTTTAAAAATACTGCTCAGATTTTATTTTCAAGTTAAATAACACAACAATGCAGCCACTGGAACATATTATTATTTATAACAGAATCAATTCAAGAATATTTAATTGATTCAAATCAGTTGAACTAAGACAAAGTCTTTTTTTCCCTGCATGCACTGAATGGGTTCTTAATTTGCTCTACTAAAGGATCTCCATGTGTTTCATCATTTGGAGCCTGTAGTTAATATTCATACTCATGCTGATTAGAGCCTTAGATCAGAATGAAATTAATGAGAATTCATTACTCCGTTCCTCAGATCTAGGGATGGAAGAAGCTCTCTAGACTTAAAGAGTGTCATTCCTGAGTGGTTAATTCTGAGTCACAGCTAAAATAGATCTAAAAATGGCTTTAAAAAAAAATGAGAAAGCAATTTAAGCAATTTCCAGCAATGCTGTTACATACCTCAGTCACCATAGTTAGTCCCAGAAGATAGCTAAGGAAACATACTATAGCGATGAAGATTTCCCGTCGGTAACCCTTCCTTAGGAAGGATGGGTGCAGATCAACTAATGACGTGATCTGTCCTTCAACTTCAACAAACTGAAGAGGGAAAGAACAGAAAGAAGTGACTTAAAAATCATCTGCCATGCCTTTCATCCTAGCTCAGAATTAAATGCTCCACAGCAAAGCTTCAATCTCAGTCTGTGGCAAAATGCTGCAGAAAACAGGAGCTATTTCTCTGTAACCTAAAGGTTAAAGGCTGGGGGAAGTTTTCAGTTTGGAATAAGCTTTCAGAATTGATGTCTGTTTCCTAGTATCCTTGCAAACTACTGAAGGGGCTTTGTGAATACAAGCTGCAAGGATAAAGGAACTTAATTTGATGACAGGAAGGCACTTATGGCTTTTATGTTGTAGCTGTTCCAGATGAATACGCAAGGCATGCTGGTAGAGAGGCTCAGAGAAAACACTCTAAAAGCCCGAGCTGCCCAAGCTAGGAGGGTACCAATCAGGTTTGTTTTTTTTTTGATGTACTAGAAAACCTCACAGGTACTATTTAGATTAATTCCACAGTTGGATATAATTCTATTCCTGAATTTGCTACAGCAAATCTAGCCAAGGGAAAGCAGGCTTTGATGTGAACTAACAGCCCCTCTTGCCTGAACCTGTATTTTCTGAACTGGTGAGCAGAGTTCTTCTGGCTGAGGCTCTGGGGCACTTCATCAATCACGATGGAAATCTTGGTACAGTTCCCATACAAAGGCTTGGTAAGCTGTTTGCACAGGTAAAACAAAAACAAAGCCCTGAACAGGTTAGCTAAAATCTAACCAGCTTTTGTACTGACTTGCCATTTGAAAATCACACGCAAGGTTTGTAACCCAAGTTAACCAAGTAACCAAATTTGAATAAAAGTTCAAAGTTTACTGGAAATCAGATGCATTTCACCCACTGAGAACAGTGACTGCTGAGCTCATAAAAAAATCCACAGAGATCATTCAGCACTTTCCACCTGGCAAGGTACAAAAGCATGAAGAGTACTGAAGGCACAAGGGTACCGTGGACAACCAAGACTGCCTCTGTAGAAAGGATCTTCCTTTTGAGTGGATACATTCTCTTAAAACCAACCGCTTTTCATGGGGAGTCTATGAAATAGCATTCTGTCAAAAACAGGTATCTTTTCCTACCCAGTATCTATCTAAGACTGAGAAGTGCCTTATAGCAACTCTCCCTCTTTGACTATGAGCTGAAACATCTTGCTGAAAACACAGCTGTCCAGCAATAACTCCACTAGATTTTGTAGCCTCCTGTCTTGTTGTGACTTCTGAAAACTGGTTTTCCTCCTAAACACAACCCTTTGGTCTGATTTGATCTTAACCTGCTCTGGCATTCCAGAAACCTGCTTGACTGCACTCCAAAAAAAACCCAACAAACCAGAGGGGTGGAGGAGAGAAATTAAGCGCTCCAATTAGTTTTAATCATTCTATGCACTGAAGAGCTTTTTAAAATTACCAGACAGCTTCCAATTTGCATAAGCACAGGCTTGCTGAACGACAGCATTGGGAACTTGTAAATTCACTTTGCAGTGATTGAAAGTTGCTCACTAGAGTTCAAAGATTAAAACATAAATAGCGATTTGGGCCAGAGTATCAAAAATGTAAGAGAGAAAAACTGGCTAAAAATCTATTTAAATATTTACTTCATTCAAGAGAGGACAAATAAACATTTCACCCTCAACAATTAAGTTTTTGTAATCTCAGTTGTTTTCCATTTGAGTGCAGAAAGCTGTCTGTTGCCCTGAAAACTTCAGCAATTTTGAATGTGCAGTTACTGCATAATCCTTTGCCACATATATTTCCTTGGAGTGAACCATCTAGAAATGATTTACAGGCTCACTTGGGAAATTTAGTTCAACATTCCTATAAGCGACCAGTGAGAAAAGTAACATAACTTCTTGGACTAAACTTTTTGATTTTTTCATGGTCACTAATTAGTAACAGCACGTGCTATGCAATGAGTACACTGGAAGCTTTTCAGCTTTTCAGAAGCTTTTACTGGAGTACCATTCAGAGACACTGAATGCACACTGATGTGCATGATGTGAAAGTCAGCAGGATCCCAAGCTGCTTGGCACCTCTGAGCAGAAGACCTCCGAAAAACGGAGTGGTTTTGCCCTCTGACTGTTTATGATGCCACCATGGACACAGGGAGACATTCTGTGCTTTTTGTGTCTCATGATGACACTGCAGTTAGAGGAGGTTTTCTGACTCTTAGTAACTTTTGAAGTCAGTACTCCATGAAGCTGTTAATTCTTACAGAGCGTTTCCATGGTGGTGTATACTAACTGCAGAAGATCACAAGGGCACAAAATACTCTGTGGAACAGATTGCAGTCTTCTTGGATATAAGGAAGAAGTTTCTTGTGATAAGGGCGGCGAGGCAGTGGCACAGATTGCCCAGACAGATAGTAGTGCTCTGTCCATGGAGACAGCCAAGGTCGGGCTGGATGGGCTCTGAGCACCTGATGGACATGTAGGTCCCTGTTCATTGCAGTGAAGTTGGACCAGATGGCCTTTAAGGATCCCATCCAACTCAAATGATTCTAAATTCCTAAACTCAGGAAGTTCTTCTCCAAAGTAGGAAAATACTGCAACACAGAGAAAATGCTGGTATTTTGGGGACAGACTGCACTCATATTTAGGCAAGGGTAAGTCCCTCTTGCACTCAGCCAGCTCCTGATGGCAAAGACTTGCTATGCAACATCATGCTGACTATCAGTCAACAGCCACAGATCTATCACACATAGTCCCTGCATCAAAAAGCAACACAGATGAATTCCTCATGGGCAGCATTAGAGGAATTCTCCTCCATAATTCATGCCAGTATAACTGGCTTTGCCCAGTCAGCAATGAGACGAGAAGCCATGCACCTCTTACCCACCATACTGACCTGGCTATCCAGTCCAAGCAACAGAAGCATAATAAAAAAAAGGATTGCCCAAAAGGTGGGCAGTGGCATCATGGACACAGCTTTTGGGTAGGCAATGAAGGCCAGGCCTGGACCTAGAGAAAGAGAAAATAGGAAAGGGGGAGGGGAAGGGAAGAAAAACAGTAAGTACCAGCTCTCTGGTAAAGGTAGCACACTCAAATGCAGGAATGCCTGGTTCCGTTCAGATAAATCCAAACGCGGCTGGAAATACCAGAAGTGAAACAGTTTGGCTCTTTTATCTGAAAACGAAGCACGCATGACTAAAGCAGAAACCATAGGCCAACCCCCGAGGCATTGCTAACTGATCACCAGTTTTAACATCTGTTTCAAACATGTCAGTAATGAAGGTGTTCCTACACCTGCCCACAGGGACACAGGTCAGTTTTGGGGCTGGGGGAAGAAGGGGTGACCCAGGGGAATGGCAGAACCCTTACAGCTAGCCCATGTGGTCGTGATGAAGGTGATGATGATGAAACCCTTTTGTATGCAGGGAAGGGACTCTGCTCCAAAAATTCCCAGGGGCCTTCACTAAGGCAACCACTGCCTCACTCCAGACACAACTTCCAAAACCAGCTTTTCTAGAGTGGGGTTTGCACTCTCACACTGCTCCTTTGCTTCTGCAAACCTTTACTGCTGCACTGATCAGGCTAGTCCTAGTTCTATCAGCTGAAGCTCCTGAAACAAATGCCTTCTGCCAGCTTAGGCAGACCTACCATAGTGACACTGAGTATGAGCAACATGACCCACAGCTATAGGATGGGTTGATGCAGTCTGGGGTCACCAGGGGGTTGGGACTAGAGTCTGGCTTTTCTGCCCTGGAAACCAAAGGCTTTTTGTTGAATGCTTGTTCCTAAACTGGCTCTTGCTGCACCATGGACCACTCATACCCACACACCGAGCATACATGCAGTGCTCTCACATACTGATCTGCAAAGGATCGGCGTGGAGCTGTGTGCTTTCAGCTATGGCTTGGGAGAGCTTCTACTGAGAGAGAAGGAGCCCTCTCCAAGTGGGAGACAGGAACAAGGGGAAGCAGGCATTTATGGCAAGCTCTCAAATTGGCCGTAGAAACTGCATTTGAGGGCAGATTTAAATACAGATTAAACCCAGAAATACCTAGCTCAGCTTTAAGAAGCCTTGAAGATTTAACACTTCCCAATTTTGAAGTGGATTTAAGTAATTTTCAAAGGTAAAAATGATTTGTTTTTTTAACCGCTGCAGTGTGGGGACAGAACTCTGATCTCTGACCTGTACAGAAAAATCTGTAAGACTGCTCTTCCTACCTCCCACTTTTCCTTTCCAACAAGAGAGATGGAAAAAGCAAGAAAAAGAGGTAAAAAAAGATGATTTTTTTTTTTTCAAACTAAAGAAAACTTTAAGTCACTGAAAATATTTGAACAGAAATAAATACAAATTAGCCAACAATCAAGCAACTAATTTTATTTAAAATGAAACACTGCTAAGATTTTATATGACAGAAGATACCAAAAAATGGTGAATGTATCAAACTGGGGGGGGGGGGAGAAGTTGTATTTTTCTCCCAACTCAGTGGCCATAGGAGATGCTCCCTCAGGCAGAACTGCTACTAGATGGCATTTGCAGTTGATCTGTGCAATTGATGAGACAGATGTAAAACTGCTCTCCTCAAAACCCGCTGCAATTCTGTATGCTTTGGCCATTAAAAGTGTCCCTGTACTGCACTACAGTCAAGTAACAAGTGCCCTAATCTCTCTTCAGCTTTTATGTTATTGCACGTGTGGTGAAGTATTTCTTTCAGTCATTAGAAATGCAGGATAATTTAAACTGGACTCACTATGATATTTTTGTGCCTACAATGCCTTGCTTTCTCCCTTTAAAATCAGATGTTATTTATTAAAGGTCTGACTTCACTGGGAAGCCAAAGGGGGTTTAATTTAACTCTGGTATAAGCCTATTAAAGCCAGTGGAAGCCAGCAGGAGCCACTCCTTGCTGATTACAAGGTGTGCTGGGAACACTGCTACAAGGCTGAATTTGGCACAGGTAAAAAAAAAAAAAATGTGGCCATGAGATTCTTCTGCTAGCAAATTTATTGATGTTCCCTGGATGGCAGAAGGGCAAACAAGGAAATAAACAGTGTCATGCACAGGTCACAGGGGACTTAACACTCTGGGCAGAGATGAGGGCAAGCAGCAGGCGCTGCCACTGTGGACAGTATCCTCTCCCCAGTGCTAGAGCCAAACAGCAGTGCCTCTGCTCACCTTTTTTTCTGACCCAAGGGAGTGGTTCTGACCTCGTGTCATGAGAAATCGAAAAAGAAAAGGCCCAAAAAAGAGGCTGAACCACCTGCTGAATGTATCTGCTCTGAGAAGTCAGCCCCAGCTCCTGGATGTGGCTTCCTCCATGGCCTGGGATGCTTGTCCCGGGGGAACTAACTGGTCTGCAGCAGCTCCACACCAGACTTTTGCTGAGGAAGGCAGCAAAGAAGGCCATGGGAAGTGGTTTGGATAATTTCAGTAATGTTTACTATCATGTAAAAACGTGGCTTACTATTTAGCCAAAGCTCAGCTAGAGATGATGGACAACTCAATGAACTGCTGAGGTGGTTGCAATGCCCGGCCACCAGCAACTAGGGCTGAACTGAAATGAACTAGAAAACCTTAAGGAATAAATACAAAAATAATCAAGAAACCAAAAGCAAAGTTTAGAAGCCAATCAGTGCCCTCATCGTCTCAGCTATAAAAATGGGATTATCATACTGATCTTCTTTGAAAAATACTAGGTAGTCACTAAGTTTAACAGTCAATTTGCATTTAAAAAAATTAGTTAATAATTCAATGCTGCTACAAAATTGTTTAATTCTTAAAAATGCCAAGCAACAGGAACATTGCTGCCTGTTCATCAGAGGTTTAGTTAATCAAAATTAGCATAAATATTGACCAAAAAAAAAAAAAACCCACAACCATTTCAAAATGCTACTCTTGGAACTGGTCCACCTAGATCTTAAAAAAAAAAAATAAAATAAAATGTGCTGTTTATGATTCATTCAATGGGATTATTCCCTTGCTTCCTGTTTTCAAACAAAGCAATCAGCTCGGGATCAAAATAAGCACTGTGGCCAAAAGCGTTAACTAACTGCACTCGCAAGAGGTTTGCCAATTGCAGCCACCCAAGAATCCAGTGGTGCCACCAATGTCATTCGTTTTTCATTAGCTTTTGTCAACTGAGAGATTTTTTCTTAAAGACTTAACTCCTGGAGTCATACGATTAGGAGATATATTGAATTTTCCTTCATAAGAGCATGCTTCCAGAGAAAAGCTTTCAAATACTACGCAGGAGAATTAAAATTGAAAGAAAAAAATAAAAGAATGAGAAAGAAATGTCGAAGGTGCACTCAAATGACATTACTGTTATTTGAATCCGATTAGCTTTAAGATTGCATCATGGCTGTTCATTATATTTGAGTTGTAATTCCCATCTAACCTGCCTGTGCTGTGTGAAGTACATCGCTACGCCTGCCCTCACAGACAAGACATGCGTGGGGAAAAACCATCATCTGTCACAAATGTCACAAGCTGTGAGGATTTAGCCTCCTTCAGCTGCACGTGCGTGGCTGAACATTAATGGGGAGAACACTTCTGAAATATTGGAAGAATGAAAGTGTACATCCAGTTCCAGAAAGAACTTCTCACAGTTTTATCAACCTCATCCTGGAGCTACAGAGGACAAGTGCAGGACTGTGACAGCTAGAGTTCCTGTGGATGACATGATCCACAGAACACAGGAGAAGGAGCTCTCCAGTTTCTCTGCCTTTCAGTGAGACTCAGGAATATATGCATGTATGTCCCTTCCAAAAGCCAAGATAATACTCCCACCACTGTGAGCAAGCAAAAGTAAGCTATGAAAAATGCATCAGTACTGGCTATTTGCATTTGAATGAAAATAAAGGTAGTCTGAAAAGAAGGATGGAATACATTTTTGAGTCAATGAACATTTCGGACCCTAGATAATGGTGTGGTTATTGTACCTCTCATCTCAACTCAAATGGATTAGAACATTCTAGGAAATATAATCACTGCTCTGTTAATCAAGAGGGTAATTAATACAACCCCACTAACCATCACTGCCCTCGATGAAAGCCCAAATCAACAGTGTGCTTATTGTTCTGGAGATTATGTGAAATCTTGTTCTGTTTTTATTGCTTAGATGTTAGCTGATTGAGTCTGCAGAACTTTGCTCACACGCTAGGCGGCAGTGCCCACCACCACTGCCACCAATACCATCGTACCTGACTCTGCCACATCAGCAATGTTCACCCCTTGCTCTTGTGCCATGAAGCCCAGGACGGAAAAAATTGCGAAGCCAGACACAAAACTGGTACCACTGTTCAGGCATCCCAGCAGCAAACAGTCCCTAAGTCACACATATGTCATGGAGCAAGTTAATTAAAAAAAAATTAACCCATTGTCCCTACTTTATTTACATCATTTAGCTAAAACACTAAACCCCCTTAGATGGAAACTTGCCTATAGCAGTTGTATTTGTACTTGTTGTAGCTCCCCAGGGAAGTCATTGCTCCTAAGCAGATTGCATATGAGAAGAAGATTTGTGTCCCTGCATCTATCCAGACCTAAAGGGAAAGACAGAAAGACTGTTACTAACAGCACTGCTGCATTGCAACCCTCAGCACAAATACACAGTTCAAACTATACAGTATCAACAAAATAATTGATTCCAATGAGGGTGATAGCTATGGGATCAGGGAGGGTGGGGAAGAGAACATCACATTTGCAAACTTGGCTTTTGAAGGGAAAAGAGAATTGTTAGCATCACAGCCCAGAAGAACATCAACTCTTCAACAGTTCCAATATTCCCTCCCCAGAGAGGCTTAATATTTCTGGTCTCTTAGTCATTCAGCTGATCCTTCCTGTTGGTGCAACAATAACTGTGCTTCAGAGCAATAGGAAATGCAGAAGTATTTATAAAACTGCTCATTTCTGTTTTAAGTCCTTTCAATTAGAATCAGCTGACAGTGACTAAACTGAGGATGTGAAAAGCTTGAGAAACACTTTCTTTTACTTTGTTTATTTTCTTAATTTTCTAGCTGTTTTTTGTAACTGTTCAAATGCAAGATAAAAAGCCACAGGGGTGGGGGAAAAACAAGCAAAGTACAATGCACTGTATAAGATGCATATCTGACCTCGGTCTCATGATTCTTTCTTCTGATTATACTTTAAAAACATATACAGAATTAAATAACATTACAATATGAGCTAGCTTAGTAAATACATAGAAAGACATCAAATTGCATCCACTGAATTACATCTATTCACTTCTTTCTGCAAACGCAAGCCTGCTAACATCAGTAGAAACCACCAAAGAAACGGAATAAGTAAGAATCAAGACTGTAACCATTATTTTCTCCCCCCCACCACTGCTTTCCAGAACCCTCCTGACTGGTGGTATCTCCTTGGAGATGATGCTTGTGCTAGACTGAGGGAGGGGACCTGCCAGCTCACACAAATCTCTTTTACATTATCAGCTAATAGTCTGGGTTTAAGGCTAATAGTAGATCATAAAAATGATGGAGTCCCATAAAAGATGATGCATTCATAAAAAATAATGTCTCCTATAAACAAGGTATCTTATGTAGAGGGCACGACTAGAGAATGAAACAAATTTCCACAGTGTTTCTTTCAATTACACTTTTCCTACTTCAGTTATTTTCCTACCATTGGAGTTTTATTTTAACCAAATACTCAGTAGAAAGAAATAGCAAGGAAAGACATCATTCTATCTCACTGTGATAATCACTTCATTATTTTCAAGGATACCTAGTTTTCTATTTTTGGTTAGGGACAAATGTATTGCTTTGTTTTTAGTTTTGGGTTGGTTTTTTTTGTATTTCTCACATGATTCCTATAGGCTGGTGTGCTGAAATGTCCCCATACTTGCCCTTTGTGAGCACAGACTCTTTACCTTCATAGCCTACAAAAATGGAGTAAGTCTAGCTGCCACTCACCAAGGCAAACTATCTTCTCTGCCCCTCAGAAAGCATTATTCTCCACCTCATCATATTACTTCATTTATGTCTTTCCCAATCTCCTCCTTCAGAGCAGTAGGTACTAAGGTGACACTGGTACTCACAGTTGCTGTTTGTTGCTCCATCTGTGAAGCTCACGTTTCTCTCCTTTGAAACTAGACTACGCTCATTAAAAAAATGCATCTCCCTTACCTTACCAATAAGAAAGCTGAGATTGTATAACAGGACAGAATTTACAGCCTCAGAGTCCTTTGACACAAAAAGAAAAATACACATGCACACACACACATACATACACATGGAAAGATGCATTAACACATATAACAAGTGACCTTCTCAAGCAGATCTCTGGAAAATACAACCCAGCATTAATGTTCATGTTATATTTGGACCTCAAAAGACTGCGGAAAAAATCTATTGCCATTACATCACCACCATTACCCTCCACCATCCCTCTTTGTGCAGGAAATCATCCCGCTCCCCACTCCTGGTTCCATACCTGTGGGTCAGCTAACCGTGAGATATCAGGATAAAGATAAAACTTGATGCCCTCTGCAGCTCCAGGCAGGGTCACACCACGGATGAGCAGAACAAGGAGCATGATGAATGGGAACGTGGCAGTGATGTACACTACCTGGAACACAAAGAAATCATACGGTTAGTCTGTGGCACTTGATGCTACACCTCCAACAACAGGAATTCAATACAGGGACCATTTCTGGTTTTCTCCAGCTGCGTGGCTCTGCTGCTAACCCTGTTTGTTGTGCTGCCTCACCACCACTCCTACAGGCAATTTCAAGGAGCACTTCATTTGGATGAAGATAATTTGGTCTGTGCTCCTGCATCTCCCTTCCCTTCAACTTGAAGACATTAAACCCTTCTTCAGATTGGCATCAGCCTCAACAGTGGTAATTTCCAGTCCCATAACTTTTTTTTTGCCCTTGCTGCTTACTCAGCAACACCATTATTGTAAACTAAGGTTCCATTCACCCAGTTTTGAGAATGTCTTCATTATCTTTAACTTGCATTCTTATTCTATTTAAATAACAGCCTGCTTCTTTTCTTTGTTATCTGTTTATTTGATGAAAGAGCCCTTTGCTTTAATCTCCAGCACGAGGGTTAATTTAGCATGCATTTGGACAGTTCTATCTTTAAACCCACACTTTCTGACCACTAAATCTTGTTTTCTTTGCTCATCAGTGTTTTCTCTCATTTTTCATATAACTGCTGTGTTACAGTGAAGAACCGCTACAGTCCATGAAAGGTCTTTTTTCATAGTCAGATGATCCCCCCAGGTAATTGCAGTTTGCTGACTTGATTTAAAACATATTTTTGTTTTCCAGAATTTGTTTAGCTACAGCAAAGCTCCTGGGATGCACCATTTTTCTTTCTAAGTGTGTCCTCTGAGAGCAACCAGGAGAACTCAAAGCCTCCATGGCCATAGTAATTCATGGTGACAGACTGGTTTTGTAAAATGAAAGGAAACCTTTTCACACAGGCCTTTTTAAAATCCCTCTTTTGAAATCTCTGTATATTTGCCCCTGACAAATAATATGCCTTACACATTAGCCCACTTTCACCAAAGCTGATGGATAATAGGTGGTTTTCTTTGCTTTCTAATTTTTAACGTGATCCAGGCCTATAATAAATTAAAGTTTTCTTATCAGAAAAACATCCCCATATGTGTTCACAAGAGCTGAACACACAGCACTTACAAAGTGGCCTTTGCCCTCCAGGTAAGGATTCTCTTGTAACACTGAAGGAATTTTTGAGATCAAACACAACTATTATTTTTCCCCATAATTTAGTGTTTATTTGTCCAACATGCTACTACGGGATTTAAATTATTTCCCCCTACTCTCCAAAGAGCCATTAACACACTGGAACCCAGGGAAGTGCTATAAACAGTGATCTGCTAAAGTAAACTAGACTTCTCAAATAATTCAAGTGCTCCATTAGAGTTTACGGTTTACTTTTGTTTGACCCAAAGTTAATGGAGTCAACCAGAGACTTTCCAATGGCTTTGCTGGGCTTTGGCTCCACTCCCCCATGAGCTCAGGCACTGTGGGAAGGAGGCAGTGAATTCCTACTGCAAACTTTGTCTTAGAAGATGAAAATTTTGCTGGGTTTACTCGAAGTAAAACCTGCCGATAGCTCATTTTAACAGACCCGTTTTCAACCTGTTAAATTCACAGGGATGTGAAATAATATGTGCCATAGGGAACTTGGAAAATCCCTCAGAGCTACCTTAACCTTTACCAAGCAGAAACCAGGCTCACAAAAAGTACTGCAGCAACGTGTGCTTCCGCTCTGCTGCTATGGGAGGTTTATTGCGCTCTCCTTTACTGTTAAATTTACACCATCATCTCATCGGGTCACATCAATCAGCAGGAACAGAGAAGCAAACATTTTTGTCAACATGTACTTTAGAGGTGTGGACAGAACTGGCAGGAATCCAGAACAAGGCACCAGCATGATTTTAATGAGGCTCCGTGATAAAATCACAGAAAGCAACACAGAAACGACAGTAAAACAAGCAGTTTAGTCAACAGTGGAACTAATAAGGACCAGTTTCGTAGAGAATTTTGTCTCCCTGTTCATTCTGCAACACAAAAGGAGATAAAACTGCTAAATAACACGTTTTCTGCAGTTGAGGAGCTCACGTTTGCTCTCTGCTCTCAACTTCCCTAAGGTCTAACAAAAGATGAGTTCACACTCTACCTTCTTCTCAGCTGGGACACAAATAGAGTTGCTCCCTTCCATCCAGCTGACCAGAAACGTGTGGAGCTTCATATCCTGAGACCTCCCTATCTCTGTTAATTTACCCAAAAAACTGACTCAACCAACAGGTTTGAAAGTTAGGAGAGAGTGACATGGCTTCAGCAGCGTTTTCTCAGGGAACTAGGATTAAAAGCACTACTGTATGCAAAGGGATAACATCATGCTTCAAATTGTTTAGCGATTGGCCAAGAATGCTATAATTTGTTTCTTGCACTGGAGTAGGATGAGGTGCAGGAATGATGTAACTGTTATCCTTTAGAGAAAAACATGACTCCAAAGAGCACATAGTAAGCCTAAATCAAAAGAATATTCAGGATCTCTGTTAAGGACAGTGCCTGTAAACAAGCACCTAAGTTTAGTCTTCTCTGTCTACACAGAGCTCTTAAGTAAGCAAGCGGCATTTCAAAAATGCTATGCATCCAGCATTTTCCACTGGCTTAAAACATCCCTACCACAGCTATGTTAACATCCACCCCATTACACTGAGAATGAACTTGGCTGGTGCGAGAGCACGGGCAGGGAGTGCAGAGCTCTGTGCATCATAAGCCTAAGACTCTCCAAGCTCATTACGTGCATCAGTAGGATGCTTGTCCTCAGAGAAGCAAAACATGCCAGTGTCTGCTTCTTGATGCCAATCCAGGAACAGCTACTTGACTCACAGGCATTTTGGGCACGGCAATAGCTTTCCAGTGGCAGTTGAATCCAAATCCCTGCTTTATTCAGTGCAAAAATACAACTATTTGCAAAGAAATTATGAGCATATTTCAGAAGAACATTACTTTGTATCCCTGCCGTCTACTAACTACAGTGATTATTAAAAGGGTGAACGAGCACTTACTTTCCCAGTGGATTTGACTCCTTTCCAAATGCAGAAGAAGCATATCACCCAGACGAGGAGGAGACACAGTGCCAGATCCCACTTGATAATACCAATATCTTCAATCCCTGAGGACAAGCTCAGTACATTGCGCCTGAGTGTATGAAAGGAAACAAAAGAAGAGAAAGATGCATGAGCAGAGTGATATTGAGTCTTGTTGTGATGTCTGCAAGTACAGGATGGTGCTTGGGGCAGCACATGCATGGGTAGATCTCAGCCTTCTGCCTGCTAATTCAGAACAGCTTAAGCGAACAAAACTAAGCTCTGCATGCCTAGATCTCCCCTAGCTTTGTGGCACTCTTTTGTTTAATACGTTTGTGCAGCATTTCATTTTAAGCTCTTTTAGCAGCCCACAATTACCTCAGTATGAGGTAAGAAACTATTCTGAAATCAGTGTGGCTTTTGCACTTGCTGACTTGAAGATAAACTCACCCCATCACTGCCTAACTCCTAGCTCCACCACAGACATTTCTTACTATCCTACACCCTTTTTCTTCTTTCCATTACCCCCCATGGCCCTGCACACAAGCACTGCCTGCACTCAGTGACCACTTCCATAGCCTGAACTAGCACAAACTATTTGCTGAACTGTATTCTGTCACTTAGGTTAATAAATAAAAAGAGACTCCTGTTTTAAGATGGGTCTTAAGGATCAGGGCCAGGGCCAGTTTTTTCCTTGAATTAATTAAACATTTTTGTTTGTTTCAACTAGAAAGGAAATAATAATGAATGAAGTCACTGATGGAAAATTTGCAATTAAGTTTTTGGAAAAAAACCTGAACTGACTAGCTTAATAGGACTCAAACCTTCATCCATCTGTTTTTGTGACTCTGTTTGCCAAATTCACTCAGACTACCTGTGTGAATGTGTTCTCACATCAAACACTTTATTCTCCCTGAATGTGTGTGCATTTTGCTATGGAAAAGGACTAATGGCACCAGACATGCTAAGTCTGCCCTAATCAGCACAGCTATTCAACAGTTACGAAAAACCCCTTAGTAATCAATGTCTGGCATAGAGTTGCAGTCCTGCTTCACCTGAGACTAAAGAAATCAAGGAAAACTCACTGTGAATACACAAAAGAAGAAATCACATTTATAAGACAAATTTTTGCTGTAACCTGTCACGGCTTTTTAAGAAATAGATGCCAATTTTCCAATTTGCAGGCAGTTCATACTAAAATTTAAAAGGCAGTTTATAGAGCTAGCTCTCAGGAAGCAATGAATAATTAACTGCAAACACATTTTGGGATAAGGATATCTATGAATGCATTCAGCTAAGACTTCATTGCTTTTTATTAGGGGAACTAGAAGTGAATGGCTGTCTCACCCAGAATATGCTCCAGCAGCCCTGTCCAGCTCTCCTAGAAGACACCCCATGGGTCACTGAGAGCCAGCTATGTTACTTCTCTGTGGCCTGGCAGCAAGCACACAAAGTGATGTGCTGCCTTTCTCTCTCTTGAATTATCTGGTCTCACAAAAGCTCAGTTATCACTCAGAATTACCAGTGGGGTGTCAGAGTTCAAACTGTTTCATGAAACCTAAACCAACATTTTTTGCAGAAAAAACACTCAACTTGAATTTGCAATGTCCTGAAAATTCAACTTCAGGAAGCAGCAGGAGCCAGGCTATGACAATAGCTCTTCAGTTTCGTTACACAACCCAGTGCTGCCTAGACTGAGTCAAGCTCACTCACCTCACTCTCTCAACTCACTTCATACTATGTATTCATGAAGTTGTTGCTAATTATAATTTATAGTCATGATGCTGTCATTAACTGTCTTTAATATTATATCAGTGGGGCAACAGCCTGTGGCCGAGTTCTTTGCAACCATGAATCCCTGAACTTTGTTCATGCTCCTGAATCTTCTAGTGATGTGTAGCATGGAAATGTAACAGGAGCAGCAACTGGCTTTAGAACATAAACAAAAACAAAACAAGGAGAGTTATGCAATCCTTGAAGGATATTCCAGCTCATTAATTAAGTGAATGCAGCCAGAACTTACATACCAGGAAAGGTGAAGCACCCTGACAGACATGAATAGCTAACACTGAAGCAGTATGTACCAGAAAGCTATTACAAGGGAGAACATGAAACAACTGTTAAAATTCTCCATTTACCCCCAAAGGCAGAGACAGCTGCCCTCAATTTACCTCGTTTTGTGTTGCTCCCCTCAAGATTACATGCCATTAGCATGTGATGGTCTTTCTTGGGATTTGGACGAATAAAGTCTGCTGATTACCCAATATTTATAAACACTTGGCCAGCACCAGACAATCAGAGGTTTTGTTCAACGATAATTACCCCATAACAATTATCCTTTATGCATTAATGTGTGTGTAAGCTTTTAAGGTTTGGGGCTTTAAAATAAAATCTTCAGAAATAAGACCTGAAGCATGTGATACCAAGGGGTAAGTCCCTGATACAAAGCCAGATTTGCTTAACCCCCTTTTATTGCTGCTCAAGCAAGCATGTGATTTGTACAGAACATTAATTCAAATGAACTGAAATGTCAGGCTGTACTATATGTCCAGCCAGGCTGAGAAGGACACGTGTTCTTCAACACGAAGAGGTTAATGCAGCAGTGTGGTCAATTATATCTCTGCAGCGTTAGCCTTACAAAGCAGGAGTGATGAGGACACTACATAAATCTCCCACAATAAAAACAGCATTGAGTTTCAGAAACCAAATACTGAAACCCCTAAATTAAATTGGAATTAATTGTGCCACAAAGCAGATGGATATCTTCAGTTAAAGGCTATTTATTGACCTGTCCTTTCAATGCGAGTAGCTGGCTGGCTGGCAGCTGGCATTGTCTATGATGGCAAAGTGCTCATAAAGTTCTTGAGATTATTTTTCATTTCAGAACCATAAAGTATAGTAGTATGGCCTTGTAAAATCTACATTACTTTAATGACAGCAGAGCTGAGTGATCTCTCTCTGTCCTTACTTGAAGACACCAATAGTTGTTTATGCAGAGAGAACAGCTATTTTTAATACTTCTGTAAGAGCACTGAGTCCCGAAGGCAGCTCGATCTGTTAAGGACGGTTTGCTCGTGATGAAACTCTGAGCTATGGACAGTATGTCTGTATTATTAGTAGTATGGAGCCAAATCCCTTCCTGGCACAACTCCAGGGAGGAGTTTAGTTCATGATGTTTAAAACCACTATTTGAGGACAAAAGTTAAAGTGACTGCAGAGTACGTGGGAAGCTGCCTGCACAAGCACTGGCTGCTGAACAACCTTTGCTCTACTCTGCTAAAGAAATGTGGGGGCACAAACCTTTTTGCCTGGGGAAGGTGGAAGGAAAGGGAAAGCACTGTGAGAACTGAGAATTTCCTCTCTGGCTTTGGGCACCCCCAGCATGACTACATGCAGTAGGCAGTGCCTACTGGAGGATTTGGCTCAGCTTTCACAGTTTTGAGGGCAAAAACCTGATTTATTGTAAAGGGAACTTAACTAAAAGCTCCACGTCCATCGGGACATAATTCCCCCAGCCCACAGGCAGGCTGCCCTGCCACCTTGTACCTGCTGTAGGGTTACCCATGGTGTCTGGTGTCCCCCAAAGTTTTGGATCCCATTGAAGGGGCCCACCAGCTCTCTACATATTCTTTACACCCTGTTGCTCTCCTGCCTTTGAGCTCATTTCCCATCTTAACTTGCCCTACCTCCTACTACTGTTCCACCTTGCTGGATTCTTCAATCTTTTATCATGCTTCTTCTTTAACCACTCACTTTCCCACTCCAAGCCCTACTCCCTCTTCTTCATGGGATCAGTTACCTTCTCAGTCTCCTAAAGAAAACATACCAGCTGGGGCCTCATGGAGACAAGCTAGTTGCTAAGTCTGTGCATTACAGAAACAGAAGTTCCTGGGACAGCAGGACAATTCTGTGGCTTCATCAGAAAGCTCCTAAGCTCATGAATGGTACAAGAGGATCAGTGAGCAAACTTACGGCACAAAATTAAGATGGACACACTGCTCCTAAAATCCTGGGAGAGCAACTGTATGTCATGGCAGTACGTGCTTCTCACCAAGGCCTTGAAATCTTTGAACATCCTACAAAAACAGCTGTTCACTTGGATTCAAGACCTTGAGTACCAGAGTGGGAGAGTACAAAGGAGTAAGAATTCCTTCCTCTTCTCCCATAATTCGCCTTCAAGTTTCCCAAAATATCCAAAGATGCCATTTACCAAATCTTTCCTTACTTTCTCCTCCACTCACAAGGGAGGAAAACACCTGGGAAAGTATCAGTCATTCAGCAAGGAAAGGCAGTGCTTATGGCATGGGGAAAACAGCTGCTCTTTCAGCCTGCACCCCATCCTTCACATTGATCTCCAGTGTATTTTGACAAACTGCTCATCAAGACCTGCTCTGCACTTTGTACTTTGGCTCTTGCATTACAAATTTTAGCACAGCTCGTAATACTATTTTTTGTAAACCTAATGCATGCCAGATACATTTGGCATGAACATAATTCCCGCTGGGGCTATTGGCTGAAGCTTCCTTTTAAAAATAGAGAAGTAGGTACAAGTTCATCAGGGAACCAAACAGAATTTAAACATGTTGAAAGATAAGCTGGATCAGAAACTTATTCTACTGCTAATCGATTATCACATCAAGCCAAGAAAAAAGAATGATTTTCTTCCCAAGCTATATATAGATCCTTTGGATTTAAGTTTCCCTACAGGTGTCTTCCTCTGCTGCTATGTTTTGACAACTGTATAAACACTCAGAGATTTGAGGTTGTGCCTGCTCAGAAATAAGTTATGCAATATAATTTTAAACTTGAAAAATAACAGAGAAATGGAAATAAGAAGCTTAAGCCTGACAAAATCCAAGCATCAAGTAGAACAGAACTCCTCAAGGATTGCAGAAGAAAACGATGGAACAAAGATGACTAGAGAAACTTACAATACGGGACAACACCTCTGTCAGTTTTACTGATGAGGTCATGCCTTGCATCTTTGTCAAAGTTATATACATTATAGCTTCACAAAGTGCACTGCAGATGACAACTACAAAGGAAGAGGCAACCACAGAAGTGGTGATTTGTCACTGCTTCTGTTTTAAATCCCTGCCGCCAGGACATCTGAAGTGACTTGTTACTATTCTCTTGCTGAATTTGGAGAAGCCCAGAGAAGAAATGAACAGGATTTCCTCCAAATTACAAATTGGACTGGGTTGTTTGGGCTCCCCATATTCTCTAGGCGGAGTGTGGTTATACATCTAACAACTTCCTCCACTACTCCCAGACTTATCGGTCTGTCAAATGAGTGATATCCAGAGCCATTCTCTTCTCCTATCTAGCACTCCCCATTAAACTTCTGCAAAATCTCAGGCATGACCATTGACATTCCCCACAGCATCCCAAAGGTGCCATGAAGATGGAGTACTTACTCCCAGAACTCTGTGACAGGAGAGGTGAAGTTAGTGGCATTCAGTGATATCCAGAGGGTTTTGTTCTTCCTGAGAGTGTCTTCCACGCAGGTCGGCGTGTTCCACTTCTGGTGGCAGTGTGCCCACGGCAGGACGCTCTGGAACGACTGGAACAGGTAGTAGAGTCCCCAGGCCAGGATCACAATGTAGTACACGTTCAGAAGGGACACAATCACTATGGAAGCATAACCAATTCCTGGTGAGAGGGAAGAGAAAGGAAATAGGCACAGATGTGATATGTGGTCCTTGCTAGGGTGCCTTGTGAGGTCAAGGACCTGTTGCTACTGCAGTTCCTCCTGCATTGTGGACTTGTATCCCTCTCTCCCACACTGCTGTTGGAAAGTGAACTCACACATAAGCACTGCTACTGTCTTTGACTTTACTGGCACTCAGGGCTGAGCTTTGAGCTACGGCTTGCTGAGATTGAAGGGGAAGAAACACAGGGAATCTACCCGATTTTACAGTAACCCAGCTGTTTCAGGCTCTATTGCAAGAAAGTTAAAGCATCACACTTAATTTATTTGAGAGCTACACAATCTCACATCTTGGCCATGCATTCGGGCACCACTCACTCGTATCAACTGGCTCAGCTCTGTATACGTGCAACAAAGGACAACTCTTGAATGAGTTAAAAAGGAAATTTCCAGAGTTATCGAAGTGAAAGCTGCTATTTCTGCCCCAATTTCACTTGTGCAAAAGAAGCACGATATTTGTAGCTTTTATGGTTAATTAGATCAATGTTTAACTTTGCTATCAATATTTGACGATAAAAAAATGTTCCCTGTTTGTTTTTAAAAGCAGGGTCATAGGCAGATAAGGCCGAGTGCTATACAACTTAGGGAGGTGGTGGAATGCTGTTCCGGTGGAGGCTTTAATTAAATACCACAACTGTTCTCCTGAAGCTGCTATCTCTTTTACCTTGGCAGTTAAGTCCTGCTGGCAGATCCATACTATGTGTTAAGTCAGAAGCAGTCACTATTTTTGTAAATACAAAATGAAAGGACTCTGAGAAGCCTCATTTTCTTAAAATCTTTTAGTATATAGACTATACTATAGTATATAACATATTAACCTCCAGGAGGGAGGTTTGGCACTTAGGAATGACAGGGAAGAAAAAGGTTTCATTTACAAAAACTTAGAGCAGACTCCCAAAAAAGGATGAAAGGCCAATGAGGGTCCCTTTAACAACATCCCAGTGGCTATCAGAACACCTGGCTATCTACCTCGTGTTCATAGTTTCAAACCTTATTGTAACAGCAGTCACTACCAGCAGAGATCATCTTTATGCTAGGTGAAAGCAATCAGAGCAAGTGCTATTTATTCCACACAGTTGCACTTCATTCAGGATATACAGCTAGCCACGTTTCTAGAGCAACAGTGTCTTGTTATGGATGCATGGGAGATTGCTCTTTAAGCTAGGAACATTCATTCTTCCTCCTTTAGAGAAAAGGTTTCATGGAAGTGGGAGGAGGAGGAGGAAGAAGAAGAAAATGGAGCTAAAGCAGCACTGTACATAGAGCTCGGTAGCATTCTGAGTATTAGGTGGGAGTGTAAGCCCTGCAGAAAGTCCTCCCTGCTGCACGGAGTGATGTAAGGGCTGGGGGATGTCTGTAACAGCAGCAGTGGCAGAGCCAGAGACACGTCAGTGAGAAATGCCTGTTCTTTTTGAATGTAATTGGGAAGAGTGCCCCACTACTTAATGCAATTATTCCTCATAATTCTACCTGTGTTGTTAGGCTGCAGAGGGGAATCTACAGATAAGGCAGCACTCCCAGTAATTCTGCTAACCTGCCCTTTGTTTTTCATTCTACTTAACTTTCAGAGCAGCGTTCATATAATTCCTGCGAGCACTGAATGATTCTTCATTTGCCAGCAAAAGCCCTTGAATAACAGGAGAGATTGTTTGCCAGGACAACCTCAGTTATGAGTCTTATGAGTCCTGTCTCTGAATCCTGCACAAAATGCCATGCAGGTTTTGGTGTTATCAGTAAGAGACGAATGACGCCAGTGATAAGCTCTCACACGGCCAAAGCATTTTGACTTCCAGACCAGAATAATGTTTTGAAGATGTTTTTGCAGAAGGGCATGTAAAAGGTGCTAGCTTTCCAAAACAACGCGTTGTCTGATACCAGTGAATAAAACGTGCAGTTGCCTTTTTGAGGCAAAATATGCAATCTGTTTCTCGCTTATTGGCAGTTGTGCCAGTTAACAAGATGATTGCATCAAAATCAATACAACACTTTGTCCTTCAGACTCTCTGACTTCTGCCTTTCCAGGAACCAACATTGTATCTTCAATTACTAGAGCAAATAGCTGAATGAATGGACATAAGGGGAACTGCATTGCTCTTTCTGATTTACAGAGGTGTCTTCAAGCAGTAAGGGACAATTAGAGGTACTAACCAGTGAAAATAGGGCAGATCTTTTCCCAGCATGTAATTCCACCTTCAGAGGTATACTGTCCTAGCACCACCTCCAGGAAAAAAACGGGAAGACCTCCCCCAAACAGGAAAATGAAATAAGGAATAAGAAATGCACCTGTGGAGAAAATATAACAGCATAAAATGGAGATACAGTGAGTGACTACACAGAATAGTTTAAAAATTATTAACAGACATATATAAACAAAGAAACATATTTGATACTTTAATATCAGTATTCAACAATTTTAATTCAGAGGTATTTTTCTCATATTCATACACTGCAAGTGCAATGGGTGCATGCAAATGGAAGGGCACTGTCTTACCTTAAGACGAAAATCTGCAATAACAATGGGGTTAGGCACACAACAATTTCACGTGACTCAGAATGCTCCTACTCTGAAATCCAACAGAAACCATTGTTTGATGTTTAGTCTGATTATTAACATTGAGTCACTCCCTTAGCTTGTGTAACTCTATTTGCACTGTAGAACAGAATACGAATCTATGATAATAGCGTATCAGAGTCAGGCTCAATAGCAGCAGAACAAAGGAGTACAAAAGGTTGAGCAGTACGAAACTCAAATTGCTGTTGGTTTTCCATAAGTTTTAACAAAATCTATTTAGTAATAAAACAGTCTCTCCCAAAGACTGGTGAAAAAGGCAGAAAACAAATGCTGAATGACTCTTTTTAAAAATGGGAAGAAGGCACTGAAAAGAGCAAGTGTGAGGCAGGGAGACTGATTCACGAGCAGGAAATAAATACTCACCTCCGCCGTTTTTGTAGCAGAGATACGGGAACCGCCAGACATTGCCTAAGCCAATAAATCCCCCAGCCACGGACAGCAGAAAGTCAATCTTGCTCGCCCACTTCTCCCTCTGGGGCGGCTTTCCTTCTGCCTCATCCTCAGGCCGCGTCCCCGGGCTCTTGCCGGGGGAAGGTTTGAGGATGTCCTTGTGGAAATCTTTCAAGCACTGAAGCTTTTCCTTTGTTGCCATGTTTCTGCTTTCTACATAGAAAAAAACAAATACGCTGGGTTCATTAAAAAGTCTTGCCAGGTAGGGTTGTCTGATGCTGCAAGAGCTGTTTACTCAAACTCAGTTCCACAAAAAAACAGTGTTATTTATCAAACTGAGGTATGGAAACGCGTACACCTGCTGCCTTCACTGACCAAGACAAATAAACAAACCATCATGGGACTCTGTGGCCACCTCCTTGCTGTCCTTGCAATGCAGGGGACAGCAAAGGCTTGACACCACTGCCTACCTGCTGGCCACAGACAACAGTGCAGCAAAACTGCACAGCAAATGGCTGCACTGAGCCTTGACTGCACTATAGATTTTGTCTGCAATACAGGCAAATGTCTCAAGCTGCTTCCATGTCCATAATAAGGTACAAATCACTGCATCTGATTCCTGCTCAAAAAAGTGAAATACAGCAGAACAGTACCTCTCACATTTTCAGATAAAACCTCTATTTCCCAATAACACGAACCATCCTGCATCATTTATTGCCTGCAATTTCCTTTCCCTGTAGCGCTGTAAAGCTTTCAGAAAACTCTATATTCATAAAAACTGGAATGGAAAGTCATTTGTCCCAATCAGCCTGCAGGAACTGAACAAACCTTTGCAGTTTATTCCATTTTCATAACTGTGCTGTTTTCCCTCGGCATCAATAAATGGACAAAAATAAACCTCTAGATTCAATTATCACACCTATGCAGCAACTGAACAATTGGCCAAGAACGATGGCTTGTTAGTTAATTAAAAATCCAGTGGCATGAGTCACCTGATGCAAAACTCAAACCATATTAAACTGTTGCCTACTTTATGATTTAAATATTTAATTTGTAAAAGACAAAAGTCAGAGGTTGCGTAAATAATAACAGCTAGAATTATTATATCTAACAAGTGTCTCTTTACACAGATTGCCTAATGAAAATAATTTAGGAACAGCTTGTAGTTTCTATGTTAAACCTGAACTCAGGCATACGAGGCCAATTCATTCTTCATTATAACTCAAGTGACTTCAGCTGGATTCAACCAGCTATTTTTGCATAGTATTTTGATGCTGAAAAGCACGTGAAATTTTCACCAGATCCAGGCAAGCCAGCAAGTTTATTCCAGACCACAACCATTCCCTGCTTGTACATGTCATTACAGGTGCAGTCATAAAAAATCATGCTTCAGATTATCCCAGTTGATAGCTGCAAGCCTCCTACCTGCCTGCTGGTTTTGATCTCTAACCTGATTTAGCTTGTAGCAGTGACCTGAAACCTGTGCTGACATTAGCTCTGCAGGAAGTTTTTAATCCGAACATGATTCTGAGATAGATATGCATCACTGTACCCGTAAATCTTTCCATGCACCACGGAAAGATTCAGAAGGCTAACATTTCAGCACCACAGCAGCTCCACGTTCACCCACTGATAGATCTGTGGGCTTCGCAAAGCGCTTATTGCGACAGCAGCTGCCTATCAGGCCATGATCTAAAAAGGAACTTTAATCTCCCCAGTGCTAATCATTATGACTTTCTATTGTTTTTAAAACGGGCCACTGCTGACTGCGGTTACAAGCAACTGTAATGCCTCTAAGTTAACAGCAGAGAGAGCTCACAGGAGGAGAAAGTTACCAACAGAGTGGTGGATCTCCATCACCTACTATAGGTATGGGGCTGACACTGGGTCCCCTCCAACAACTCCTATTGACTCCTGCTAGAGACAAGGTATGGGGCAAAGCAGTGCAGTGACTGAATGCAAACGGTAAAGCCAGCTCTGCAAGAGCCTTCAGGCACCTAGCTGCTTTGGGGAATTGTCTCACAGCTAACTCATGCTCCTAGTATTGGGCAAGGTTCAGCCAAGAGGGATCCACACCAGCTTACACCTCCCTGGGACACTGGCACCTCACTGCCAGCCCCAGACAGGCTTCACCTGGCAGCATCCCCTGCAGTCATCACTTGTGGGAGAAATCAAAAAGGAGGTGTACACACTCCTCTTCAAGGAGGCACTGACAAGGTGATCGATGTTGCCCCCAATGGAACATCAAGCTGGCATGGAGAAAATCTAATTTCACTTCCTTTTGCTGCCTGTGCTGCTCAAATCCATATCTTTCATCTGGCAGGAGAATGGCGTAACCATCAGGCAACTGAGTGTTCAGGGTTCAGGAAAGGAGGCCATATGAGCTCTCACAGAAGCTGTTCTTCACAGGGGTTACTGAAGCACCCATCAGCAGAGGAAGAAAGCATATAAAAGAGCACAACTCACACCTAGTGCTTAGGACACTCTTTAGTTTGTCAGAATTTGTTGGTGAGCTGCTGGGATAGCCATAAACCTGCTTAATGGGGCAAAGAGACACATACATTTATAGATCCCTGCAGGATTAAGGTTTGAAATTGGAGCTTAGCTGCTCCCCATGGGGACTGATACTGGAAATATCCTGAAACAGGGCACTGGGCACGTTGAGAACCTGCATGTCAGAAAACAAGGGAAATACAGATATTAGCCACCTCTAAGATGAAAAACTGTGCCTGGGCTGCAATTTTTTGCAATCAACTTTTATCCTGCAATAGAGAGTTCTTTACTTACTTTTTACCAGCTCTAATCCTCCTCACTGCAGATTGAGTTTGACCCAAATGCTACTTGGTGCTGCACAGAAAGTGCAGCATTTCTCAGCCTGTAACCCTAACTCTCCCTGGGACAAGCTGATCGCCCTGTGGTTCGTCATAATTAGCTGCACACCACGTGTGAAAAGGCGCTTTCTCAGACGCCTGCTTTGTAACTGCATGGGACTGCAGTTTTTAAGAAGAGATTTGTAATTTGTCTTAAAACACCCCAGGTTAATGGATATGCTCATAAACGTAATTACTGAGTGTAAATTTTGTATCAGCCTTAGCTAGAGGGTGAAGACAGAAGTGATCCCTCTCTTAGCATGCAAATGGCAAATCCTCAAACCCATGTTTGCTTTTGGGGTGGCTGTTTCACCTGATGCCAGAAGACCACCACAGTTTTGCTGGAAGTCACGAGCTGTGGCTAGCGGGCCACAGCACAGTAGTGATCTAACGCCTGCACAAAATTAGCTACGGCCCAGCTTTGCTCTATCTCTTATCTAGTCTTGCTAAAACCCAATTGTGTTTTGAGGGCCGGCAGCTGTGGCTGGCAGGCACGTACTGCCGACCAGTACCATAGGAATTGACGATAAGCAGCCACCTGGGACTGCAGTCCCAGTCCATGTCACGTTCAAGGGATGTCGGATTTATCCCCCTCTGCTGCCAACCATTGGTGTCCACCCAGCCATTCCCAATTACAGGAACTGTCTACAAAGGCTGCAAGGGTGGGGGGTACGGGCGATTCTCCTTGGCGAAGAAAAGCCAAGAAAATAAAGTTTGTTTAGTGAAAGGCATTGTCTTTTTCCTTAATGGGGTTGGAGTTTCATTTCCTTTAGCTATGTCCCACTGGGTGAGGTTAAAATGGCTCTTAAGGGAAACAGTCTGACAGAGATGCTGAAACAATATGTTGTCACCGCCCAGGTCAGAACCAGAGAATAATAGGTTATTTTTACTGTATCACTTAGTGGGGATGGTATCCGAGATCTAAGTCCATCTGATCCCCCAAGGAAATATTTTGTAAGAAAATGCTCTTAGAACCACATAGTCCAAAAGGAGTGATCCAAGTTAGAGGCACATGTCTGCCTTCTGGAGACACGCGTCTGCCTCCAAGAGACACGGCTGCCTGTGAGAGTACCCCCTCCAGGAAGCTTCGGATGGCCCCAGGAAGCTCTGTCTGCATCTGATGAACTTAATAGGGATAAATAAAGAGCAGCAGTCAGGCCTGCCCATTGCAGTGTGCTGCTGGGCTGAGGGCAGCCCAACAGCCAGAGCCTGACCCAACAGCACAGGGAGCCAGGCCCAGAGTCTGCTCTCACGTACACTGATACAAATCCTAATTAACTGAGGATAAAGTTATTGATTAGCAAATCGATGCTGGTAAAATGTGGAAAAACAGAACAAGGGAGCAAGCATGGCCTCGTTGCACATCTCAAATGTCTGTTCCCTACATGGCCAGAAGATCTTCAGGACTCCTCGGGAGAATCACACATCTGCCCTGTGTGCCTGCGGCAAGGATTTCCTCATGGGAAACACCCCTGTGCCAACCCCAGCTCTCCTGCTGACCTCCATGGCAGTCCCTGAAAATACTATGAGATTATCCATAAGGAGAGAGCTCTCACAGCTAACTTGACCTGGGTCATCTGCTGTGATACAGCCATCGTATCTTTGCACGTACAGCCTGTGCCTCAGATAACCCATACCCTTTAAAAAACACTGGCATTGAAATGTAATCCTTTGTAACATGCAAAAAATGAGGGGTAGTGGAAGGGGGAGGCAGGGCAGGAGCCTCATAGTTAGCAATGCACATGGAGGAAGGCCACCACGACCTGTTGGTTGTCAGAATGACACAACTCACATTACTGCTGAACCACCGACTTTTTTGGATAGACAACCCCCAGATCACACATCTGAAAATACACCGTTCGATTTCTGCTCTGGGATTACAGTAATGATCCCCTCCAAGCTTCTTACAGCCAGAGACAGGAGACCGACGTAGGGTAACACCTCCCAGGAGGAGCCCCAAGGACAAACTCATCACGGAGCTTACCTCACTCAATAATCCTTACAAATCAAGTCTTCAAACAAGTGGTTTTCCAAGCTCCGATGGATACACAGAAATCAAAGTCTGCCTGTACACACAGATAGGCATTTGTAAATATTTGTGCGTGCTAAAAATGCATGTCTTGTCTTGTATCTGCAGTTCATAAACCACAGCAAAGGAGCTACTTCTTTTTCGGTCACTGCTTATAAACTTTGAATAGGGATTGGATATACTCAATTTGTGACTAGAATCATAACTGAATATTTGTTTTATAGCTCCTTCTTTCATTAGAAAACTAAAAGCAAAGTATATACTCAGAGTAGCTCTGACCTTAATGGGAATTCTGTCTGAGCAATGACTGCACG